CCAAGAACCTTCAAAAAAAGAGCGTACTCCTTCCTTAAAGGCCGGCATCGCATTTGTGATACTCCTGGTGTTGCAAGTGTCCATGGGCGACGGTGATCACTTACCATCAGGTGAGCCGTCTGCTCGTATGCCCCCTATAACATAAAAAAAAGGAGTAAAGCGATAGCTGGTTCATGCGTCATGCTCGTGAACGGGTGCTGCTAGCGGAGATGAGTCTGCCCTAACTTCTTTGATATTGAAGATGTAAATGTTTTTGTTTCTACTGTAATTTGTAACTATTTTTATTTCTACTGTATCACACAGCAATCAGAATGCGGGTAAACAATTAATGTATATTTAATCATTATGTAATGAAAGGTGACTTCATGAATCATCTGTGAAGTAATTTTTCCACTTGCCGACTCTGTATATAATAAAATAGCTAAATATCAAATAGAATAACTCTGTGAAGTGCCAGCATCACACAATATACAATCATTCCATCTGCTTTTAATCAAACGAGAAAATAAATGAGATTATTTTTACATACTTGCATTTTTAATGTTTGTTTAATATTCTTAAATTAATTACAATAACTTTCCTTTCGCATTGGGGATTATCTTATTTACATATTTTATTTAACTCTGAGCCTTAAGAGAGGATTATTATTGATGCAGTTAAAGGCCCGTAATATAGAAAGATTCTTAGTGATTGATCTAGTCTTGAGCATGGTTAGAAAGGGATGTCGCTATATAAAAGACATAGCGATATCCCTTTCCAACTGTACTCAAGTAAAGATCAACACTTAGTTGTTATTCTGTAATACGGGCCTTGGAGTTCTCATAGATTTCACATTCACTTAATGGAAATTAATTAGCTGTAATGTAATAAAGTACATTAGTTTAATAAATTACTCTTAGAACTAGGATACAAAAACGGATTTATCGCAAAGCTTTCTACTGCTCTAATGTGGCTCCAACCATTGGATACTGAAACAGAAGCTTTTTTTGATTTGGAATATAAAAGTAGCTAGCTGGTTCGATTAGTTTAGTTACAATGACCAGGGGGCCAATCGCCTAACGGAAATGCTTTGGGAAACGCTAACGCTTACGATTTTATATTGTTATTTCTAGCCGCCTGTGGTTTTCGAATACCTCACGCTCATTTTTTTTAATATTGTTATTACCAATGCAAAAGAAAAAGAAAGAGCGCGAGGCATTTGAATACCTCAGGCGGCTAGAAATAACAAAATAAAATCGTAAGCGTTTGCGTTTTCCAAAGCATTTCCGTTAGGCGATTGGCTCCCAGTGGCTAGAAGCAGGGACGTATTTACCCTTAAGAGCCCTTTTACAAAATTGCGCCGCTGCCGTACTGATCGGCGCGTAGGTAGATTTGCACTAGTATATATTGCATTTTACGGGTGATGTTTCGAGTCTTATAAAATAATTATTAAAGAACTATATATATATATAGAAATAGTACATACATATTACAGTAGTTCAATGATGGTAGATTAGTTTTATGAAAGTTTTTGATAGTAATTCTATTTAATTCAATATCAAAATACGAGGTAAACCTGCATTATTTTTTGGGAAAACTCACGGAGATTAGATGTTTTTTTGATAATTAATGAGATGGAAAATCAAAATTCTAATACATTCTGTTACAATAAAAACATATTTCTGATATTGTAGTAATTAATTTGATCTAATTTATTGAACATTATTGAGAGATTGAGGCGTTTGAAGTTGTAAAACGATCAGTACAAAAAAAGGAAAATATTATTTGTAAATATTCTACATTAATTCTACGATTTTTTGCAAAAAATGTGAAAGGGCTCTTAAGGAACCCATGCTGTTATAAACCGGCACGGAGGGCACATCACGGTGTTTTATTGGGTAGCCCCCCCCCCCCCCCCTCCACACATACAGAGTCACACTCATAACCCCGTCGCCTTACCCAGTGGCGGGATATGCGTCAGACATTTCACCGGGCCAAAAAAGGGCCGTATTTACCCTAGGGTTAAGTGAACCATGGCCCAGGGCGGCAGGCTGCGGGGGGCGGTTGCTAGAGTTGCACAGGGCGGCCAAAGGCTCTTATAAAGGCATTCGTTGCTGACCTTTGACTTATTTACTTGTGTAAATCGTAAATAGCTAGAAATACGACCCCGAATCATTAAATTTTAAATCTTTGAAAACTATTATAAATTATAGCAAACCAGTGAACCAAATGTTCACCAAAACCTGATTTCTCGAAAACCGGAAGTGCTACGTTACTCAAATCCGGTTTGTAGTCTTATCAGACTATTCTTAACTTATAACTTAAATATTCTTTTTATCTATCTCTTACGGTTTAGCCGCTGAAACAGCACCACAGACAGACGGACGGACTTGTCTAATAGATAAGAGATATTCTCTTTATCTATCTCTTACGGTTTGGCCGCTGAAATAGCACCACAGACAGACGGACGGACTTGTCTAATAGATAAGAGACTAGCAAACCAGTGAACCAAATGTTCACCAAAACCTGATTAAAAAAAAAATGTATTTAATTAATTGAGAACTTCGGAGATTTTGTGTGGTTTCGTTTGAGATTCGTGATTTCTCGAAAACCGGAAGTGCTACGTTACTCAAATCCGGTTTGTAGTCTTATCAGACTATTCTTAACTTATAACTTAAATATTCTCTTTATCTATCTCTTAAGGTTTGGCCGCTGAAACAGCACCACAGACAGACAGACGGACGGACTTGTCTAATAGATAAGAGATTCAGCTCGTCGTTGCCTCTAAAATATTTGCATTGTATCATGTCATCATCATTTTAAACAAATAAAGATTACTTGAATCATTTACTTGTATTGTTTTCATTGTTAGCAATCGCTGAGTGCTTGTAAGAAAATCGGAATGCAGTGTTATGCAAATGTTGATTCGGCGTGCCAATAAATATGAGTTTGTTTAACCAGTTGCGCGCGTGGCCAATATCTCGATTTATAAGTGTTATTATTTAGGAGCTCGATGGCACAAGTGGTTAGCACGTTCGGCTGCGATCGTTGAAGTTAAGCAACTTTCGCAATGGTCGGTCATTGGAACCCATCCAATTTGAATATTTTTTTGAAGAATACTTGGGATGTGATCTACAATCGATACCGAAGCCAAAAATATAGTTTATAGAATAATTTATCTGTTTGTCTGTATGTATGTCCGGGATAAATTCAAAAAGTACTGCATGGATTTACTTCAAATTTGGCACGAATATTATTAAGAAGTCGGGTCAACATATAGGCTACATATCATCACGATATCACCTACGGGGAACGAGCAATGAATCTTTATATCTAACTAACTCCACGCGTACGAAATCGTGGGCGGCCGCTAGTAAATAAATATTTCCAACACTCACACCAATTAGCCTAGCTCCAAAGTAAGCACTGTAAGGCTTGTGTTATGGGATGCTAGGGTAACGGATAGAATACGTATACTGATACATATATAAGTATAATTATATAGAAATACCTATTATGCATATTTTACGAGGAGCTCGATGGCTTAGATGTTTAGCGCGTTGGGCTGCGATCGTTGAAGTTAAGCAACTTTCGCAATGGTCGGTCATTGGATGGGTGACCAAAAATTTACCATCTCGAGCTCCTCCGTGTTTCGGAAGGCACGTTAAGCCGTTGGTCCCGGCTGCATATGCACCCACCAAAACAGTTAATTATGTATTATTACGTTTAATTATTTCAGCCGCTAAGTATAATGTTACGGATTATTTTTAATTTATAGATTAACAACTGCTCTGGATCGGTTTGGCTGTACAAAGTTTCGTATTTTCAGCAGATATGTATATCTGATAACTTCATCTTGTCTTTTAGGTCCCTGGATTGTGGGAAGGGTTTGTTGTTTAGTCACAACGTTTTTAAATATGTATAAATTTTGTTGGTTTTAAAAAAAACGCATCGTAATAATTTGGACACAGCAGATTTTTAATTCGAACTTCAATTTCGGGAAATAACTTCCATGTCGCGGATATCCGCAGTTTAATAATATATCTATCTAATGGTGTTGTTGTGTTTCTATCTGTGAGTAAGGTTTGGTGAGGGTCTGATGAGTAATTTCGGAGATAAACAATGCAACGTAGGCTACTTATTGTCGTGAATATAAAACTTAAATGGTGATGAGACCCACTAGTAATACCTGAATAATAAAAAGGGGGGAGCTGTTCAGATTAAGAATTTAAGAGCCCTGTAAAAGATCAAGATTGTTTGTCAAATTTACGTCATTCATTTCGTTTGTGAAACAAATTTGATTGTTTAACGCTATGTTTGATGCGATTGACAAACAGATTACTTTGCGAAACGTGAAGTTTGTCAAATAAATGTGATCGTTTCTAAAGCCGTTAGGTATGTTTGAGATGCGATCGTGTAAGTTGAGCAACTTTTGCCTGTTATTTAGGGCCCAATCTTTCTATTTCATCTATAGGGATCTGTAGTTCAGCAGTGGAGACATGAATAGGCTGATAATGATTTTGTGGAGCTAGTATACCTCCTTGACGGACACTTATTCGAAAGTGAATTCATCATTCTTTTCAACGGGCTTAAAATGCGTTTTGCAATACTTTTTTACATGTCACTACGTTTCGCATCCTTTTCAGGATCCGTTATCAAAAATATGATTAAAAAAATACTTTTGATAACACATCCAGAAACCGAAACGTTTAATTTAAATCCGTTGAAAAGTAAGTTTATTTAATGAGTGATGTGCATGAAAACATAAGAAATAAATATATTTAAATAAAACTAGTTTTAACGGGTTAATGCACGAACTTTATTTATTTATTGACGTCAAACGTCAATAAATACACAGTCAGGTCATAAGTATTGTCACACAGTAAAAACTTTTCTTTTAGAATGCTGGCCACAAAAAAGTTTATTGAATTCGAATTTCGAATTGTTCATGAAAATAAAAATGAAAATATAATAAATATATTTGTTGCATATTCATTGAAATATTACGTATTGTTGTACAGAAACCAGTGCAAGAGTTAGTGCCTTCGAAGCCGCTCAGCTCGCGTGAGATTAACCTGGCCAAGCGCAAGGCGAGGCTGGCGTTCAGCAAACAAAAGTCGCGCGATTGCAGCGATGAAGGGGGAGGGTCGTCGGCACCCCCCACCCCGCCCGTCGAGCCCGACCGGAAAAAGATGAAGCTGGAACCCAACCCTGACGAGTATCTGGGTATGTTTTAACTTGTTTAATTACTTTCAGCATCAGCAGAAGCAGTAGCGCGACTGCAGGCGAGGAGGTTTGGAATTAAAAATCGGAAACCGTTTTATATGGAATTTGCATTTCAAGGTTTACTTTCATTCTTTTTGCTTTAGAATATACTCGTCTATAGATGAATAGACGATTTTCTTCTTTTTGAAATCGGTTAAAAAAGCATTGGTGTCTGAAGCGTTAGATAAATAATTCGAGAAAGGAAGTCTCGTGAGCGCTCCTTTAACGTTGTTTTTGTGTTCGGCAGTGGAGGGCGCCGGTTTAGCGGTGCCGGACAGTACAGGCGGGTGGGGCGAATGTACTCGCTGGCCGCTCGAACGGTGGAGCGGGTTATTACGCGCGCAGCTGTTCAGCGCCGCGTGGGAGGCGCGACACGGCGCCGCCAGCGCGCTGCGGGAACTACTGCGCGCGCGCATCTGTGCCGGCGCCGGGCGCACCGCCGCCACGCCCGGGGCTCAGGTGACGTGACACTACACTACACTACACTACACACGGCGCCGCCAGCGCGCTGCGGGAACTACTGCGCGCGCGCATCTGTGCCGGCGCCGGCCGCACCGCCGCCACGCCCGGGGCTCAGGTGACGTGACACTACACTACACTACACTACACACGGCGCCGCCAGCGCGCTGCGGGAACTACTGCGCGCGCGCATCTGTGCCGGCGCCGGGCGCACCGCCGCCACGCCCGGGGCTCAGGTGACGTGACACTACACTACACTACACTACACACGGCGCCGCCAGCGCGCTGCGGGAACTACTGCGCGCGCGCATCTGTGCCGGCGCCGGGCGCACCGCCGCCACGCCCGGGGCTCAGGTGACGTGACACTACACTACACTACACTACACTACACACGGCGCCGCCAGCGCGCTGCGGGAACTACTGCGCGCGCGCATCTGTGCCGGCGCCGGCCGCACCGCCGCCACGCCCGGGGCTCAGGTGACGTGACACTACATTACACTACACTACACTACACACGGCGCCGCCAGCGCGCTGCGGGAACTACTGCGCGCGCGCATCTGTGCCGGCGCCGGCCGCACCGCCGCCACGCCCGGGGCTCAGGTGACGTGACACTACACTACACTACACTACACTACACACGGCGCCGCCAGCGCGCTGCGGGAACTACTGCGCGCGCGCATCTGTGCCGGCGCCGGGCGCACCGCCGCCACGCCCGGGGCTCAGGTGACGTGACACTACACTACACTACACTACACTACACACGGCGCCGCCAGCGCGCTGCGGGAACTACTGCGCGCGCGCATCTGTGCCGGCGCCGGGCGCACCGCCGCCACGCCCGGGGCTCAGGTGACGTGACACTACACTACACTACACTACACACGGCGCCGCCAGCGCGCTGCGGGAACTACTGCGCGCGCGCATCTGTGCCGGCGCCGGGCGCACCGCCGCCACGCCCGGGGCTCAGGTGACGTGACACTACACTACACTACACTACACTACACACGGCGCCGCCAGCGCGCTGCGGGAACTACTGCGCGCGCGCATCTGTGCCGGCGCCGGCCGCACCGCCGCCACGCCCGGGGCTCAGGTGACGTGACACTACATTACACTACACTACACTACACACGGCGCCGCCAGCGCGCTGCGGGAACTACTGCGCGCGCGCATCTGTGCCGGCGCCGGCCGCACCGCCGCCACGCCCGGGGCTCAGGTGACGTGACACTACACTACACTACACTACACTACACACGGCGCCGCCAGCGCGCTGCGGGAACTACTGCGCGCGCGCATCTGTGCCGGCGCCGGCCGCACCGCCGCCACGCCCGGGGCTCAGGTGACGTGACACTACACTACACTACACTACACACGGCGCCGCCAGCGCGCTGCGGGAACTACTGCGCGCGCGCATCTGTGCCGGCGCCGGCCGCACCGCCGCCACGCCCGGGGCTCAGGTGACGTGACACTACACTACACTACACTACACTACACACGGCGCCGCCAGCGCGCTGCGGGAACTACTGCGCGCGCGCATCTGTGCCGGCGCCGGGCGCACCGCCGCCACGCCCGGGGCTCAGGTGACGTGACACTACACTACACTACACTACACTACACACGGCGCCGCCAGCGCGCTGCGGGAACTACTGCGCGCGCGCATCTGTGCCGGCGCCGGCCGCACCGCCGCCACGCCCGGGGCTCAGGTGACGTGACACTACACTACACGACCTCTCCCTCCCCCCTTCCCCTCTACCTGACCCCCACTTCCTCCTCCCCCTCGCCCTCAAAGAGTACCTTACCCTAACTAGGACCCTCATAGGGCTACAAAGGCGTGCTTGTGCTTAAACGAACCGGATTAAAAGGCCCCACAAAACTGCCCCGAGAAAAACAGCGAAGGAGCAAAATCACTTAAAATTATCGTCCGTAAACCAACGTTGAATGACGTTATGAAACAGAACTCTTATATAAAACTAAATCGTCGTTAATTGCTTTTTCAAACAGCTTTCTTTTCCTTTTCCACAGATGGAGGACGCGCATCAAGAATGGCTGGAAGACATGGCACTGCGTTTGCTTTGTGTACTAGCCCTGGATAGGTTCGGAGACTTCGTGTCAGACCAAGTAAGAATAAATCGTTATTTTTATTCCTAATATAACGCAAATAAATGAATCTCTCAACTTCTATAAGAACGAGTTCATGTTTTATTCATTTAGTTTCTAATGATGGTTTTATGCAAGTATATTTTTTGAAGAAGGTACAATAGTGAAACAGGATTTTTCGTCTAGCGAATTCTACTCGAATTTCGTCATATTTCCCCCTTACGCCAAAAAAGCTACGCCGTTGGTTCGTAAATCTACGGCGGGAGACCTTGTTCTGAAAAGAACCGGCACGAAACTCAGCAAGACCTGTTTTTTTCTCCTTCTTCAAAATGTCTTTAATATGAGATAACTCGTCAAATTACTTTCCATTGCAAATGTATATAAAGCAGTTGTTGAGCCTGTCCCAAGGGCTGGCTGAGTGGATGGCCGGAATTTGTAGGGAGGAGTCCCACATAACGTCGTCCCTCACCTAGTAGTGGCATGGCATGCTGCGTCACGTATTTTCCCATCATAAAAAAGCCTTACCGACACGTTTGTTTACTTGGTTTGTAACAGGGGTGATGACGGGGTACAGTAAACGAAATTCTATTTAGTCCGTCAGTTAGATGATCAAAAAATAATGGACACGTATTTTTTCTTTGGGCGATCAACCAAAAAATGACAAAGTTACAGCGCGTCAAAGTTTGGGAGTAGGGGCTCGTGACGTCACTTTTTAGTGAATTTTCACTTAAAAGTGTACTTGAACGTGACGTCAAGCGACTTTTCAAATCAATATAATTATCTCTGCAATGTTTATATTGTGTGAAAAAAGAAAAAATACGTGTCCAATACTTTTTGATAATCTACCTGATAAACGAAGAAAAAAAATAGTCTTCATCCCTATTGACAACATTGTTGGGAAATTCCTAGGTGGTGGCGCCAGTACGGGAAACTTGCGCGCAGACTCTAGGCGTGGCGCTTGCGCAGATGCGCGTCGAACGAGTGCGGAAAGTATGCGCGCTGCTGGCAGTGCTCGCCACGCATGCGCAATGGGAGGCGAGGCACGGGGCCGTGCTGGGGTACAAGTACCTGCTGGCCGCCAGGAAGGTGTGTATACGTGCCGCGTGTACATGTATATATATACAATGGGAGGCGAGGCACGGGGCCGTGCTGGGGTACAAGTACCTGCTGGCCGCCAGGAAGGTGTGTATACGTGCCGCGTGTACATGTATATATATACAATGGGAGGCGAGGCACGGGGCCGTGCTGGGGTACAAGTACCTGCTGGCCGCCAGGAAGGTGTGTATACGTGCCGCGTGTACATGTATATATATACAATGGGAGGCGAGGCACGGGGCCGTGCTGGGGTACAAGTACCTGCTGGCCGCCAGGAAGGTGTGTATACGTGCCGCGTGTACATGTATATATATACAATGGGAGGCGAGGCACGGGGCCGTGCTGGGGTACAAGTACCTGCTGGCCGCCAGGAAGGTATGCTGTTTTTGTATATACATTATTCACAAAAATAATTAAAGTCCGGTGCAATTCAAACTTCATGGCGGTGGTGAAGTCAGCAGCGTGCGCAAACATGTGCAGATTTCAGTTCAGTGAAACCAAGCGTGAAAGATCGTGAGAAGAATCTACATTTCGTTTACTTGCCGCGGCACTTTACAGACGCTATTAAGTTTATGTTAGGGTTTCCACCTGGTAACGTGTGCGCCCACATTATCAGGATGGTCGATTGTTAGGGTTTTAATTAATTTCATTATTGTTTAATATATTATAAAATAAAATATGGAATTTTATATAGTTTTGATTTTAAGTTTGCAATTTCTGTAATGGTAACACTGATTCCCTGACTCGTTTGCGTGCGGTGCTGTGATTGGTCGACGACGCTTTAAGTCTGTTCATCAACATCGACCAATCACGGAGCGCTATTTTTCGCGCCAGAGAACCGAGCGAGCGGCGTGGGGATCTCGGCTCAGGGTGTCATTCTGTTACCGGCTACAGTAGAGTGAGGTTGTGTCGTAGCAGTGTATAGTTGTACAGTTTGTTAAAGAAATATAATTGTTGTTGGAGTACCCGCAGTTTTAATTACATCGAATTCAAGTGGGCGTAGTTCACATTTGAAACGCGCTATTATTATTTTGATCGCTGCAATATAATTTCAAAGCAAATTATTTTTATGTCATAACGAAACTACGCTATTACATCATAACTTGTTACGCATAGCAAAATGAAGTGCTTATCACAAGCAGTGAAGTGAAATAATTATTCAAAAATAATTAACAAAAGAATGAGACGTCTATCTTTTTTTTTATTATTAAGAAACAAACAGTCTCACATAGTTACAAATATGTAATGTAAATTAAAAATGTTTAGTGCTAGACTTACAGTTTCCTTAATGAAATCACATATGACGTATACTTGACGACCTCCGTGGCCGAGTGGTTTGTACGCCGGGTTTCATGGCTGTCGCCGACTCGAGAGGTCCCGGGTTCGAATCCCGGTGGGGGCAGATGTTTGTGTGATGAATACTTGCATTTGTACTCCAGTCATGGATGTTTAATATGTATTTATATAAATATACTTATATATGTACAGTATATGTATTCTATCCGTTACCCTAGCATCCCATAACACAAGCCTTATAGTGCTTACTTTGGGGCTAGGCTAATTGGTGTGAGTGTCGGAAATATTTATTTATTTATTATTTATTTACATATAAGCTAAAAAGCAAAATTGATTTTGATTTAGTGCTGTACAAACAATGTACTATGCCAGCAATAAATATCTAACAATATTAATACAAGTTATAAACTCATTTTACATAAATAGCCGAACCAGATTACAAAGAACACTGCATAGACATTTTTTTTAATCTATATAATTAATGACAAAATAAGTCCAAATTCACAAACTTATCATCATACAACCTGAATACTCTTTTTATGAAACCATTACTTGCATATGCTGTCCGACTACGGGGAATATCTCTTTTTATTACCGCTTTTTCGTTTCACTCAATCTCTTATCTATTAGACAAGTCCGTCCCTCCGTCCGTCCGTGGTGCTGTTTCAGCGGCCAAACCGTAAGAGATAGATAAAGAGAATGTTTAAGTTATAAGTTAAGAATAGTCTGATAAGACTACAAACCGGATTTGAGTAAATAAGCACTTCCGGTTTTCGAGAAATCACGTGATTTCTATTTCAAACGAAACCACACAAAATCTCCGAAGCTCTCAATTAATTAATTACATTTTTTTTTTTATTGGGTGAACATTTGGTACGCTGGTTTGCTAGTTTCAAATAACAGAATAATATCACTTGAAACATTTGACGCAGGATATCGGCGTAGAATGCGGTGCCGTTGAACAACTAGTTCAAGGCCTAGAAGACGGCGCCGAAGACGTTTCAGCGGCGGCGGCTAGCGCATTAGCGGCGCTAGCGGGCGCGGGGTCAGGGGCGGGAGCGGGGGCGGAAGCGGTTGAGAACAACGCGCCTAGACTAGCGGGAAGATTGTGGTCGCTGCTGAGAGATCAAGATGACCTAGCGGCGCCTGCGAATGCTTATCTAGCGCTGTTAGCTGCGTTGTGCGCGCTTCCAAGGGCTGCGAGACTGTTGCAGTAAGTAGTTAGTTGTTATAGCGTGGTGTAGATACAAAGCTGTGATTTAGAATGTGCGGGAATATAAGCAGTGAAGAACAACGTGCCTAGACTAGCGGGACGATTGTGGTCGCTGCTGAGAGACCAAGATGATCTAGCGGCGCCTGCGAATGCTTATCTAGCGCTGTTAGCTGCGTTGTGCGCGCTTCCAAGGGCTGCGAGACTGTTGCAGTAAGTAGTTAGTTGTTATAGCGTGGTGTAGATACAAAGCTGTGATTTAGAATGTGCGGGAATATAAGCAGTGAAGAACAACGTGCCTAGACTAGCGGGACGATTGTGGTCGCTGCTGAGAGATCAAGATGATCTAGCGGCGCCTGCGACTGCTTATCTAGCGCTGTTAGCTGCGTTGTGCGCGCTTCCAAGGGCTGCGAGACTGTTGCAGTAAGTAGTTAGTTGTTATAGCGTGGTGTAGATACAAAGCTGTGATTTAGAATGTGCGGGAATATAAGCAGTGAAGAACAACGTGCCTAGACTAGCGGGACGATTGTGGTCGCTGCTGAGAGATCAAGATGATCTAGCGGCGCCTGCGACTGCTTATCTAGCGCTGTTAGCTGCGTTGTGCGCGCTTCCAAGGGCTGCGAGACTGTTGCAGTAAGTAGCTATTATATCGTTGTATATGAAATTGTATTTTAGAATATCACTATTACACGGGCGGTAGAGAAAAACGCGCCGAAACTATTTATTGTAGCGTTGAGATTGGCGGGAAGATTGTAAATTGATCTAGCGGCGCCTGCGAATGCTTATCTAGCGCTACTTTCTGCGTTGTTTGTAAGTAGTTAGTAATTATAGCGTTGTCTAGATACTTCAAAGCTGTGATTTAGGATGTGCGGGAGTATAAGCAGTGGAGAACATCGCGCCTAGACTAGCGGGACGATTGTGGTCGCTGCTGAGAGATCAAGATGATCTAGCGGCGCCTGTGAATGCTTATCTAGCGCTGTTAGCTGCGTTGTGCGCGCTACCACGGGCTGCGAGACTGTTGCAGTAAGTAGTTATTATTGGCATTGGCATTACCAGAGCGGCACAGGCGGTTGCAGCCAGAGATATCAGAGAGTATAACATCAAAATCATCTCTGACAGTGCATCCGTGCTTCAAGCCCTACGTAGCAACACAATAAACTCTGTCCTAGTAATGGAGTGCCACAAGGCACTTCAATCCATTGCGGTTAGCAACACGGTAACTCTGCAATGGATAAAAGGACACAGCAGCTCAATTGGAAACGACGCAGCAGACGAACTGGCTAAGAGGGGAGCAGACACAAAGGTGTATGGTCCAGAGCCTTTACTGCCCATACCTCAGGCCCAAATTAAAACGTGGCTGCGTGAAATAACTCATAAAACACACTTGACGGAGTGGAAAACAGGTGAAGGATGCCGGCAAACGAAAAACGCGGTTCCGGCGGTAAATAAAAGTTTTGCCCGCACCCTTACCAGACTAAATAGGGGCAAACTTCGCAGGATTATAGGATCCCTGACTGGTCATTGTCCCCTAAACAGGCACCTATATACAATAGGAGTTACAGACAGCCCCCTGTGCAGAGGATGCATGGAGGCAGAGGAAACGCCACAGCATGTCATCATGGAATGCAGGAGTGTGGCCGACCAACGGGCACAACTTCTCCAGTCACCAGAATCGTTTCCGGAAGCTTGCAGCAGTCTACCAAGGCTGCTTTCCTTCTGGACCGATATAGGCTGGCTGGAGTAAGCGGGAATGTTTTGAGACACGCACAATGGTCCAATAATTAGGACTAAGTGCGGAAACCGCCCTGAAGAACTAACTAACTAACTAAAAAGTAGTTATTATAGCGTTGTATCTTAGATATCTATGAGGAGCTCGATGGCGCAGGTGGCTAGAGTGTTCGGCTGCGATCGTTGAAGTTAAGCAACTTTCGCAGTGGTCGGTCATTGGATGGGTGACCAAAAATTTACTACCGTGCTTCGGAAGGCACGTTAAGCCGTTGGTCCCGGCTGCATTTGCAGTCGTTAGCACCCACCGCACTGGGCCCGCGTGGTGGGTCATGGCCCAATCTCCCTATTCCATCCATAGGGAAGGCCTGTGCCCCAGCAGTGGGGACATTAATAGGCTGATGATGATGATGATCTTAGAATATCACTATTACACGGGCGGTTGAGAACAACGCGCCTAGACTAGCGGGGTGATTGTGGTCCCTGCTGAGAGATCAAGACGATCTAGCGGCGCCTGCGAATGCTTATCTAGCGCTGTTAGCTGCGTTGTGCGCGCTACCACGGGCTGCGAGACTGTTGCAGTCAGTAGTTAGTTGTTATAGCGTTGTAATATAAAAAAAAATATTTAAAATATTTGATTTATTACAAATAATAACAGAGAATTTTTATATTGTTTAAAGTTAAGGTATTGTGTAGGATAACATTTCTTTTGTGTTTATTTTAATTTTTTACCTGTAATTATTTATTGTTACTAATGTAATTTGGTAGTTACTGTTAAAGTAATGTTGTTTTTTTATTTTGACCACGCTTAATAACTAAATAAAAAAAGAAACTTAAAATATAAAAATGGTTGAATTCCATAACTTGAATTAATGATTTTTTGTTTGCTAACCGTACGCACGGTCATTCTCACGCCTACATTGACGCGTATACTGATTGGTCACCAACACAAATCAGCGCGCCGCGCGCTCGTAGATTGCTAGATCTATAACAGCCTATACTGAATAAATAATTTTTGAATTTTACTAATTACCGCAATACTTCCAACAGTCCAATCGATTTGCCGGACGTCCTGCCTCGCCTGTGGCCATACCTCGACCACAGTACCAGCTCCGTCCGCAAAGCGGCGCTTCAGACGCTCAGAACGCTCACGCGACCGCTCGTCACCGACACCAACGGCGTTACCAATGGCGATAGCTTGAACAAACCCGTTGATACCGAGCCACAGTATCTTGCGTGGACGCCCGAGTTGCTGCAGGATGCGATGAGACATGTCTACCAGAGAGTGCTGTTTGAACATGTTCATGAGATTCAGGAGATTGGCTTACAGGTGAGTCAAGTTCTGTTTACAGTCCTCCAGCATACAAATAACTTGCAATCGTCTCTATGGATTAGTTGAAATTCGGGATCTTTTTCATTCAAGAATTTCTAAATTCCTTATCTTATGCACTACATTTTACCAAGTAAATTAATTCTTCCTTGGAATAAAGAAAGTGCTTGATTTAATAAAAATTCCATGTCAATGTCAGTCATTGTTTGAACTGGAAAACTGCTGAACCAAATCGGCCTCCAACTAAAAATAACAGATGTACTTATAAATAACAATAATAATTATATAATCTTATTTTTGATTTTTTATAGGATTATTTTCTGTACATGAGATTTTATTTACACATATTTACATTTAAACAACAAATACTTAAAAACTAAATAATTAGTACAGTTTACATTCCCAATAACCTTAACGTACTTAATTACTTAAATTATATATAAATTACAAAATAAAAAATATGCCACCCCCAGCGCCGCCGTCAGGAATGGTGCCCAATAGTTTGGCAGCATTGCCACGTTGGATGGCAATGCTGATCCGTTGACTATATATAGCTGCCAGCCTTTTGATCACCAGTCGCCTCAGTGAGCCTCTTTGACAGTTCCTTAAAAAAGAAATGAGCGCTTGGACCCCATGGGCCCATAGTCTCAACACCAAACGGCACAAATATGTAGTAATCTCTTATCTATTAGACAATTCCGTCCGTCCGTCCGTCTGTCTGTGGTGCTGTTTCAGCGGCCAAACCGTAAGAGATAGATAAAGAGAATGTTTAAGTTATAAGTTAAGAATAGTCTGATAAGACTACAAACCGGATTTGAGGAACGTAGCACTTCCGGTTTTCGAGAAATCACGAATTTCAAACGAAACCACACAAAATCTCCGAAGTTCTCAATTAATTAAATGCATATTTTTTTTTAAGGTTTTGGTGAACATTTGGTTCACTGGTTTGCTAGTATAATCTATTTGTTTTAATCACGTCAATGTCGTTTGACGCGGCTACGCGCTTTCTAGGCAAACCTTAAAACCAGTGCTTTGCTCGCAGAGCAAAGGTATCTAGTTTTTGTCTTTTCAGCTAGTTGCAGCGCAGTTTCTTATTTAGTAATTAATTCTACTAGCGTTTATTTCTTCCCAAATTTGTGTTTTTTATATGATGGGAATAATAATGTATCTATCTGTTCTTCACAAGCATGGTACATTCAAATTTTCTATCATTCCTGATTAGCTGTTATATAAACAAACAAAAAAATATAACTGGGTATGCTTACGTCAGGTGTGGGAGAACTTCCTAGCACACGCGTCGTTAGGCGTGATACTGGTGGCGGCATGCCCCATGCTGGCCACGTGGCTGTGTCTGGCGATGCAGCCGGCCAGACTGCCAGTAGACGCGGGGCTGATACTGCGCCCGCCAGTACAGGTGAGTAGTGGGGCTGATACATGGGGCGGCGTGCCCCATGTTGGCCCACTGAAAGCTTGTTTTATGGGATACTAGGGTAACGGATAGAATACATTTACTGATACATATATAGGTACATTGATATAGAAATAAATATTAAACATCCATGACTGGAGTAAAAATGCTCATATTCATCACACAAACATCTGGCCCCACTAGGACTCGAACCCAGGACCTCTCGAATAGGCGATACCTTGAAACCTCTCGGCCACGGAGGTCGTCGGGTCCCACAAATAGACGCAGGCTGCGGCTGCGGCTAGCCCTTATTGGTCGGTTGTGTTTGAACACTAGATAACATTGCAAGCTAGTCATCACCTCGGAAGCAGCCGCAGGTCGCGTCTGTCTGTGAGACATTTAATGGTTCTATGTCATTTATCGAAGAGGAGCTCGATGGCGCAAGTGGTTAGCGCATGGGTGACCAAAAATCTTTTATCTCGAGTTCTTCCGTGCTTCTGAAGGCACGTCGAGCCGTTGGTCCCGGCTGAATCTGCAGTCGTTAGCATCCGCCAATCCGCACTGGGCCCGCGTGGTGAGCCATGACCCAATCTCCCTATTCCATCCATAGGGAAGGTCTGTGCCCCAGCAGTGTGGACATTAATAGGCTGATGATGATTAATAAATTGTAACAAAGACAAAGTAATGTTAATTACTAAATTTTTACATTGTCAGTTCATTCGCGCATTGTTATTGTAAGTATTTTAAATTAAAAACATCTAATTTTCGCGTTGCTATGTAAACCAAAGTATGTTTTTGGTGTTGTTTTAATCTTGGCATCTTTCTACCAGGAGTTGCCTTAGTGTAAAAATTATAGTTTTTCTAAGGAATTACAGTTTTTTTAAGGGCCTGTGAGACGTTTAATGGTTCTATCAGGGCTTGAAACCGGTTTCAACAATACCGGTAAATAAAGGTTAATACCGGTTTTTAGTAAAGGTTTCGTTCGGAACGCGTCCGCAATGAAAGCGGTACCTAAAACCTTAATAAACCGGTTTAATCCAGTGCGACACGTGCACGCGTCGGCATCGCTTCAAGTTCGTTTTGTTTGAACTAATCAAGTCACAATTTGTTAATGCTCAGAGATTGATGCATTTATTGACACGTTTGCTAGCGTCTAGTGAGGCAAGTTATTCATTTATTATCCTTGCTGTCAGAATGAGTGAAATGAAACCCTTTAAAACCCGCTAAATTGATCCAAAACCTATTTGATTTCGCTGTAATAGGAAAACCGGTTTTTTAAGGTTAAGGTAGAGCCAAACCTAAATAAAACGCTCCTAATGTACTTGACACTGATTTAGGTTTGAAAATTAACCGGTAAACAAGCCCTGGGTTCTATATCGTTTCTAATCCGTTGGTTTCTTTACAGTATTTGTAAATATTTTTTATCTAATTAAACGTTGTATGTTTACAGTGATATGTATCTTTTTATTTTTTTTTTATATCTGACATTTAGAAATCTTGTAATATTAATATGTTGACATTGTATATTTTATTGACATAATATTAGGTAACTTTGACATTTATAATTCTACAGAAAAATGTTATAATTAATTTATCTCTTTTTTTTTATTGGTTCCGTATTATGTATTTGCATGCTATTTTTAAAATGGCAAAACACGTGCTCAATCCGTTATGTAATACCTATATACCGTGTTTTTAGTAAGGGGCCGTTCAAGTATTACGTAAGCAGATTTATTACAATTATTTACCCCCTCCTCCCCCTCGTCAGCAAAAGTAAGCAGAGCTCTTACCCCTCCCCCCCATCCTTACGTAAACATTGGTACCTATATGCATTTTTCCTTTAATGTATTCTGTTTTTTTTATTGATTCATGAGCTTCATGAGCAGCAGTACTTAAAAAGGCTTAATCGATGATGCTGACGTAATCTCCATCTCTACCCCCGACCCCCCATGTCATCAAAAATAAAGCAAAGACCCCTTTGCCCCCCTACAGTGCTTACGTAATACTTGAACAGCCCCTAAATAAAGATTATGATTATGATAGGAGCGTCGGGTCCGCTCGGCGCAGTGCCCGGAGGGGGGGCAGGAGCCCCGCGTGGCCCGCGCGTGGTACATCGGCGGCGGCGAGGCGCAGCCCTGCGCGCTGCGGGACCGCAACGTGACCCGCGCGCGCTGTCTCACTGCGCGCATGCTGGGTCACTATCATTCAATAAATAAATATTTCCAACACTCACACCAATTAGCCTAGCCCCACAGTAAGTTTGACGACCTCCGTGGTCGAGTGGTTTGTACGCCGGGTTGCATGGTGTCGCCGACTCGAGAGGTCCCGGGTTCAAATCCCGGTGGGGGCAGATGTTTGTGTGATGAATACGAGCATTTGTACTCCAGTCATGGATGTTTAATATGTATTTGTATATAAAAATATATATATATATATATATATACTTATATATGTACAGTTTATGTATTCTATCCGTTACCCTAGTATCCCATAACACAAGCCTTATAGTGCTTACTTTGGGGCTAGGCTAATTGGTGTGAGTGTTGGAAATATTTATTTATTTATTTATTTATACATCCTTGATTATGTTTGATCTACTAATTCATTCCTGGAATCATTGCTGTGTCTCAAAACACGATCATAAACAATATCTCATTGTAAAAAGTGTATATCGTAATCAATATGTCTTTATAAATACTTAACCAAATTACGATTTAATGGTATCATTGCATTCAGACACAGCAATAGGGTAACGGATAGAATACATATACTGCACCTATATAAGTATATTTATATAGAAATACATATTAAACATCCATGACTAGAGTACAAATGCTCGTATTCATCACACAAGCATCTGCCCCCACCGGGATTCGAATCCGGGACTTCTCGAGTCGGCGACACCATGAAACCCGGCGTGCAAACCTCTCGGCCACAGAGGTCGTCATTAATTAATTCATGTTTCCCACACTCACTGCAATGAGAATCCGTAACGATTTTAGTTGAGTATGCAGATTTATAGAGCTGAAGATTCCATAAAATACAGTGGTTACATTTTTGTTCTACGACAAATATTGACGAAGTTATGACGAAATTACTAAACGAATTTTCGGCTGGCCGCGTGGTGACTGTGACGTCAGAGCTCTAGCGCTCGGGCGCGAGCGTGCGTAGAAACGCTGCTAAAGTTCGACCAGAGTGAACCACGATCGAGCTCTGTGACGTCACACCTTTCGGCCGCCAGTAAATATTGGCTACCATAAAATTAGGTATAAAAACGGAACGAATGAACCGATTTCGATGATTAAAAAAGTATATTCATTAAAAAGGTTATTGGATCATTATACTTTTGATTTTGAGTTGATTTGCTGACCTAATATTGATCCTCATTAGCCTAGCTTCGAAGTAAGCACTGTAAGGCTTGTGCTATGGGATGCTATAATATGCATATCCTACCAATAATATAAATGTGAAAGTTTGTACGTTTGTCACTCAATCACGCAGGAACTACTAAACGGATTTGGATGAAATTTCGTACGCATATGTTTAAGATGTATATTAAGATATAGGTTACTTTTTATCTTGGAAAAATGTTACGTTTCTGTGGAATTCCCATAATACTAAAATTAACGCGAACATAGTCGCGAGCGGCTGCTAGAATTAGTATTTTTTATCCAGAAATATATATAAACACCCATGACTAAGGTACAAATGCTCGTATTCATCATACTACCATTTGCCTCCATCGGGATTCAAATCCGGAACCTCTTGAGTGGCGACACCTTGAAACCCGGCGTTTAAACCACTCGGCGACGGAGGTCGTCATACGCACATTCTATCATTCAGCCGCACGCGCTGCCTTTTTACTAATATTATAAAGCAAGAGTTTGTTTGTTTCAACACTCTTATTTACAAGGTTGATTTGAATAATAGGGGAGATGTATATATAATATTTATGAAAACTTGATGATTAAAATGTTAAAAAAATATAAAAGAAATGCCACTGCAACGTTTTTATTTTACATAATGTTGTTTTTTAACAATTATTACGAATTAAAAATACTTGAAACGGAACGTATTTTAAAACACCAATCAGCGTTTAGTGACGTCACTCCTGTTATGACAACTTCTTTGAGGTTATGGTTGTTAAAGTAAATATTATTTTATGGGAATATTTATTGCGTTTTTTTACATTTAATAAAAATGGAAGTTGCGTTTATCGTGCAGATTCCAGGAATTTACCAAGAGTTAGCGTTGACATGGTTATAACTTTTTTTGTCCAAAGTGCAGAGTTTTTGAAATGAAAGGGACTAAATTACTACGGTATGTAAAAATCATAGTTGTTAAACTTCGTATTTTATTCAGCGGCTTCTACAAATCTTACGGCGATAATGCAATCGGCTATGTCCAAATTAAAAGAGATGGAGAATTATGTACAGTAAAAGGTCGAGTTCTCCGGAGCATAAAGTACGTAAAGAAGGTTATCGTGTTACAGTTATTTTAAATGAAACGCAAAGCTTAGTTCAGTCCTGCCAATGTGAAGATTGTGCCACACATTTTAAACATTATCTAATTTTCGACGTTATTCTCCGACTGTAAAATTAAAAATATGTTATAGACAGGTTTTGTAAGTATTAGGTAGGTTACTAATGCGTTTTTACGTACAAGCAGATTAATTAAGCATATAGCAAGTATATTCGCTGACTTACGTCAAAGTGATCTTCTCAGCATCGAATAATGGTCTTTGGAGAATAATTTTCATTTCTCTTCGCAGCTTGAAACCACTTTTTTTTCAGTTTTGGGTCAGAAGTTCCAGTCAAAACCATTTATTTGGGAACTTTGTTGAAGTAGATTGGTACAAAACATGAATCAACACGGCTTTTTTTCGGAATATTAGTGGTATTGTTATGATCGCATGATGTTGATGGATAGTCCATTTTAAATTTTTCAAAAAAATATTTCGAAAGTCGAAAAAATATACAAAAGTATGAAAATTTAAAGCCAGCAACGAACAATTACGACCAGTGACAGACAGGAGTGACGTCATCGCAACCATAGGTTCGTTTTCGCGCGAAAATTTAAATTGTCACTTTAAAACCGCATTTTTCCGATAAATCACAATGTTTTAATTTTTTAATATATCTGTGGTTTATTCTACATGGAATTCTTTAAAATAAAAACAAAAATAAAAATATTGCATCTTCCCTATTCTTTTTTTATTGGATAGTGCATTTATCAAGTAAGGTTACAGATAGGCTATATAACATAGCGCTAAGACTAATAAGAGCGGAGCGGAGGAATATACTTATTGCCACTTTGAGATTTGAAAAACAAAATCACACTAATATTATAAAGGCGAAAGTTTGTGAGTATGTGAGTGTGTGTTTGTTACTTCTTCACATCTAAATTGTATCACGTCTAAATCGCTGTAGCGATTTTATTAAAATTTAGTATGGAGTTAGCTGACACTCGAGATTAACACATAGGCTACTTTTATCCCGAAGAAATGTTAGGTTCCAGAGGGATTTTCAAGAAACTAAGTCAACACAGACGAAGTCGCGGGCGACCTCTACTTTTCAATAAACGATACGTGTAATCTCGCTATTTTAGACTACCAGATTGCCTCCATTGACGATATTGCAATAAAACGCGCTATTGAAGCCCGATTTTTCTCGTCATCAGTCGAACAAGAAAGCAACATCGCCCTAAAAGTTGCTACGCAATCTCAATGGCTGAATCTAAATGGGCCAGAACTCGCACAACAATTGCAGACGCACACAAAGCCCAGCACATTTCGGCCATTGGAGAAATGATTGATTTTTATCTAACACATTAATTTATTTACAGGCTATCTGTCCTGTTACCTAGTGCAACCGGCACCTGGAATAGAGTATAAAGCTGAAGATGAGAGCCCTATAGACTGTTATGTTAAGGTACGTTGATAGTAAGCTAAGGATAAAATATAATTAAATTTCTGTGTCACCCGATTACCGTAAAGCCATAAAGAAATGTTTTTAGCAGTCCTTGTTGTACAGTTTTCCATAGCGGTTAAACTATTGATAAAATTTTTATCTTTCCAATGCATCTTTACACTATAACAATCGGAAGATTGGGCCCATAATCCACCACGATGGTTTAAGGATTTATGGTTGCTAACGACTACAGCTGCTGTCGGGAATGTTAGTCATTGAAGTACGGAAAACCAGCACCTGGAATTGCTGTTTGCTTTAGTTGGATAATAAATTTTTAGTCATCTTTCCTACGGACTGGCCATTGCTTACCTTATTGGAAGTAATGTATATGTGCAAATAAGACACTACTATTTGCTTAGACAGTTCGTTTCCGAAATGGCCGGGACAGATTCGACACTCGGCTGCATGGCCGGATTTAGAGGTGGGCCCTGGAGTAACGAAGGAATGGAGTGCCCCTAAATCTGAGCCAGAGCACTTCCTTTTTGCATAGTGTGTGTGTGAGGTAGCGGACTACCTAGTTTTGTTATTTCAAGGCTGGTTTTCTGCCAGGTCCTACGGCTTAAGTTGCCTTCCGAAGCACGGAGGAATCGACTTACTGTGTGTATGTGCTTATGTTTTTATTTTTTATTTTTCTGTTGAACTAGATAGGTTTTTATACATATAAAAGATTATAACGAGAGCTGTTGCCGACAAACTGTTACACAGTTTGGCAAATGTATACATAGTGTAAACATGTGTAATATTATGGAAAATATATTAAAAAAAAAAAGTTTTGGTCACCCATCCAATGACCGACCACTGCGAAAGTTTTTCACCCGCGCCATCGAGCTCCTCGTAGTTGATTATAACAGTGATATTGTTGCGTTTCGCAGGTGATGACGGTGTACATCCGGTCGGGCAGCGCTCTGCAGCGGCTGGTGGGGGGGCTGGTGGTGTGCTGGTGGGCGCGACACACGCGCCGGCGCCGCCTCTACCCGCCCGCCCTGCGGCAGGGGACCACCCGCCCATCGCAGGTGATGACGGTATACATCCGGTCGGGGGGGGCTGGTGGGGGGGCTGGTGGTGTGCTGGTGGGCGCGACACACGCGCCGGCGCCGCCTCTACCCGCCCGCCCTGCGGCAGGGGACCGCCCGCCCATCGCAGGTGATGACGGTATACATCCGGTCGGGGGGGGGGGGGGGGGGCTGGTGGTGTGCTGGTGGGCGCGACACACGCGCCGGCGCCGCCTCTACCCGCCCGCCCTGCGGCAGGGGACCACCCGCCCATCGCAGGTGATGACGGTATACATCCGGTCGGGGGGGGCTGGTGGGGGGGCTGGTGGTGTGCTGGTGGGCGCGACACACGCGCCGGCGCCGCCTCTACCCGCCCGCCCTGCGGCAGGGGACCACCCGCCCATCGCAGGTGATGACGGTATACATCCGGTCGGGGGGGGCTGGTGGGGGGGCTGGTGGTGTGCTGGTGGGCGCGACACACGCGCCGGCGCCGCCTCTACCCCGCCCGCCCTGCGGCAGGGGACCACCCGCCCATCGCAGGTGATGACGGTATACATCCGGTCGGGGGGGGCTGGTGGGGGGGCTGGTGGTGTGCTGGTGGGCGCGACACACGCGCCGGCGCCGCCTCTACCCGCCCGCCCTGCGGCAGGGGACCACCCGCCCATCGCAGGTGATGACGGTATACATCCGGTCGGGGGGGGGGGGGGGGGGGCTGGTGGTGTGCTGGTGGGCGCGACACACGCGCCGGCGCCGCCTCTACCCGCCCGCCCTGCGGCAGGGGACCACCCGCCCATCGCAGGTGATGACGGTATACATCCGGTCGGGGGGGGGGGGGGGGGGGCTGGTGGTGTGCTGGTGGGCGCGACACACGCGCCGGCGCCGCCTCTACCCGCCCGCCCTGCGGCAGGGGACCACCCGCCCATCGCAGGTGATGACGGTATACATCCGGTCGGGGGGGGGGGGGGGGGGGGGGGGGGGGCTGGTGGTGTGCTGGTGGGCGCGACACACGCGCCGGCGCCGCCTCTACCCGCCCGCCCTGCGGCAGGGGACCACCCGCCCATCGCAGGTGATGACGGTATACATCCGGTCGGGGGGGGCTGGTGGGGGGGCTGGTGGTGTGCTGGTGGGCGCGACACACGCGCCGGCGCCGCCTCTACCCGCCCGCCCTGCGGCAGGGGACCACCCGCCCATCGCAGGTGATGACGGTATACATCCGGTCGGGGGGGGCTGGGGGGGGGCTGGTGGTGTGCTGGTGGGCGCGACACACGCGCCGGCGCCGCCTCTACCCGCCCGCCCTGCGGCAGGGGACCACCCGCCCATCGCAGGTGATGACGGTATACATCCGGTCGGGGGGGGGGGGGGGGGGGGGGGGGCTGGTGGTGTGCTGGTGGGCGCGACACACGCGCCGGCGCCGCCTCTACCCGCCCGCCCTGCGGCAGGGGACCACCCGCCCATCGCAGGTGATGACGGTATACATCCGGTCGGGGGGGGCTGGTGGTGTGCTGGTGGGCGCGACACACGCGCCGGCGCCGCCTCTACCCGCCCGCCCTGCGGCAGGGGACCACCCGCCCATCGCAGGTGATGACGGTATACATCCGGTCGGGGGGGGGCTGGGGGGGGGCTGGTGGTGTGCTGGTGGGCGCGACACACGCGCCGGCGCCGCCTCTACCCGCCCGCCCTGCGGCAGGGGACCACCCGCCCATCGCAGGTGATGACGGTATACATCCGGTCGGGGGGGGGGGGGGGGGGCTGGTGGTGTGCTGGTGGGCGCGACACACGCGCCGGCGCCGCCTCTACCCGCCCGCCCTGCGGCAGGGGACCACCCGCCCATCGCAGGTGATGACGGTATACATCCGGTCGGGGGGGGCTGGGGGGGGGGCTGGTGGTGTGCTGGTGAGCGCGACACACGCGCCGGCGCCGCCTCTACCCGCCCGCCCTGCGGCAGGGGACCACCCGCCCATCGCAGGTGATGACGGTATACATCCGGTCGGGGGGGGGGGGGGGGGGGGGCTGGTGGTGTGCTGGTGGGCGCGACACACGCGCCGGCGCCGCCTCTACCCGCCCGCCCTGCGGCAGGGGACCACCCGCCCATCGCAGGTGATGACGGTATACATCCGGTCGGGGGGGGCTGGGGGGGGGCTGGTGGTGTGCTGGTGGGCGCGACACACGCGCCGGCGCCGCCTCTACCCGCCCGCCCTGCGGCAGGGGACCACCCGCCCATCGCAGGTGATGACGGTATACATCCGGTCGGGGGGGGCTGGGGGGGGGGCTGGGGGGGGGCTGGTGGTGTGCTGGTGGGCGCGACACACGCGCCGGCGCCGCCTCTACCCGCCCGCCCTGCGGCAGGGGACCACCCGCCCATCGCAGGTGATGACGGTATACATCCGGTCGGGGGGGGCTGGTGGGGGGGCTGGTGGTGTGCTGGTGGGCGCGACACACGCGCCGGCGCCGCCTCTACCCGCCCGCCCTGCGGCAGGGGACCACCCGCCCATCGCAGGTGATGACGGTATACATCCGGTCGGGGGGGGCTGGTGGGGGGGCTGGTGGTGTGCTGGTGGGCGCGACACACGCGCCGGCGCCGCCTCTACCCGCCCGCCCTGCGGCAGGGGACCACCCGCCCATCGCAGGTGATGACGGTATACATCCGGTCGGGGGGGGGGGGGGGGGGGGCTGGGGGGGGGGCTGGTGGTGTGCTGGTGGGCGCGACACACGCGCCGGCGCCGCCTCTACCCGCCCGCCCTGCGGCAGGGGACCACCCGCCCATCGCAGGTGATGACGGTATACATCCGGTCGGGGGGGGCTGGGGGGGGGCTGGTGGTGTGCTGGTGGGCGCGACACACGCGCCGGCGCCGCCTCTACCCGCCCGCCCTGCGGCAGGGGACCACCCGCCCATCGCAGGTGATGACGGTATACATCCGGTCGGGGGGGGCTGGGGGGGGGCTGGTGGTGTGCTGGTGGGCGCGACACACGCGCCGGCGCCGCCTCTACCCGCCCGCCCTGCGGCAGGGGACCACCCGCCCATCGCAGGTGATGACGGTATACATCCGGTCGGGGGGGGGGGGGGGCTGGTGGTGTGCTGGTGGGCGCGACACACGCGCCGGCGCCGCCTCTACCCGCCCGCCCTGCGGCAGGGGACCACCCGCCCATCGCAGGTGATGACGGTATACATCCGGTCGGGGGGGGGGGGGGGGGGCTGGTGGGGGGGCTGGTGGTGTGCTGGTGGGCGCGACACACGCGCCGGCGCCGCCTCTACCCGCCCGCCCTGCGGCAGGGGACCACCCGCCCATCGCAGGTGATGACGGTATACATCCGGTCGGGGGGGGGGGGGGGGGCTGGTGGGGGGGCTGGTGGTGTGCTGGTGGGCGCGACACACGCGCCGGCGCCGCCTCTACCCGCCCGCCCTGCGGCAGGGGACCACCCGCCCATCGCAGGTGATGACGGTATACATCCGGTCGGGGGGGGGGGGGGGGGGGGCTGGTGGGGGGGCTGGTGGTGTGCTGGTGGGCGCGACACACGCGCCGGCGCCGCCTCTACCCGCCCGCCCTGCGGCAGGGGACCACCCGCCCATCGCAGGTGATGACGGTATACATCCGGTCGGGGGGGGGGGGGGGGCTGGTGGTGTGCTGGTGGGCGCGACACACGCGCCGGCGCCGCCTCTACCCGCCCGCCCTGCGGCAGGGGACCACCCGCCCATCGCCGGTGATGACGGTATACCTCCGGTCGGGGGGGGCTGGTGGGGGGGCTGGTGGTGTGCTGGTGGGCGCGACACACGCGCCGGCGCCGCCTCTACCCGCCCGCCCTGCGGCAGGGGACCACCCGCCCATCGCAGGTGATGACGGTATACATCCGGTCGGGGGGGGCTGGTGGGGGGGCTGGTGGTGTGCTGGTGGGCGCGACACACGCGCCGGCGCCGCCTCTACCCGCCCGCCCTGCGGCAGGGGACCACCCGCCCATCGCAGGTGATGACGGTATACATCCGGTCGGGGGGGGCTGGGGGGGGGCTGGTGGTGTGCTGGTGGGCGCGACACACGCGCCGGCGCCGCCTCTACCCGCCCGCCCTGCGGCAGGGGACCACCCGCCCATCGCAGGTGATGACGGTATACATCCGGTCGGGGGGGGCTGGGGGGGGGGCTGGTGGTGTGCTGGTGGGCGCGACACACGCGCCGGCGCCGCCTCTCCTTCTGGTATTAATATGACGACCTCCGTGGCCAATTGGTTTGTACGCCGGGTTTCATGGCGTCACCGTCGCGAGAGGTCCTTCCTGGGTTCGAATCCCTGTGGGGGCAGATATTTGTGTGATGAATACGAGCATTTATACTCAAGTCATGGATGTTTAATAAGTATTTGTTTATAAATATACTTATATATGAGTCGTATAGTATCAAAGACGGCAAAGTAGGGCGAACCAAATATTTGGCAAATCAAAACAAACTGTTTATTAAATATTGACATTTCACTACGATTTATAGTTATGATGAATGTCAATTATAAAAATCCTCCCTTAAAGACGAGACTAAACACTTTTTTTTGATTTGCCAAATATTTGGTTCGCCCTACTTTGCCGCCTTTGATACTATACGACTTATATGTACAGTATATGTATTCTATCTGTTACCCTATCATCCCATAACACAAGCCTTACAGTGCTTACTTTGGGGCTAGGCTAATTGGTGTGAGTGTTAGTAACATTTAATTTATTTAATTTTAAATTTATAGGTAAACGGCGAGCAGGCATCAGATAAGGACAGGCATATATCGTCTCTAGCACCGCCTCTTCTGACCAGCACCCTGCACGCGGCACTCAACCAAACACTTTATTACGATGAAGTGGCTCTGAACTGCAATAGGTAAGTCATTTCTTCATGCTATGTAATAGGCTATTTGACAGTATGAAAAATAATGTACCAATTGTTGGCATCTGTATTTAATATGAATATTAGCAGCGATTTTATAATTCTGAAAGAACAAATAATGTAATATATAAAAGTGTTTGTGGTTAAACTCCTCCGAAACGGCTTTCCCGATTCTCATGAAATTTTGTGTGCATATTGGGTAGGTCTGAGAATCGGACATCTATTTTTCATCCCCCTAAATGTTAAGCGTAATCCACCCCTATTTTTTTTTTAATTTTAGATAATTTTTATTTATTTTTTTAATTTTTTTATGATACATCATACAAAATTACATACAACCCAAAATTTTCACCCTTCTACCACCAACCCCTATTTTTTTATGGCGCTACGAAGTTCGCTGGGACAGCTAGTTACATATAAAATTCTCGTGTGACAATGTTACTTACCATACTCCTCCGAAACGGCCTGACCGATTTTTATGAAATTTTATATGCATATTCTGTGGGTCTGAGAATCGGCTACTATCTATTTTTCATATCCTTAAGTGATAGTGGTTGTCCACCTGTAACATAGTGTTCTGAAACCAACAATGCGCCATTGCGCCAATATTCAAACTATTGGGTATTGTAACGTAGTGTTCTCATATGGGTTAGGAGGAATGTTATCCCAGGAAATTGATAGAAAACTACGTTACACATCCTTAAAAATTGTTTTGGATAATATTTATTTTGGTGGTATTAAAAAATACATACAACCCTAAATTTTCTCTTCTACCACCTGCCCCTATTTTTATGGCGGTACGAAGTTCACCGGGTCAGCTAGTAATATATAAATAACTTTAAATATTAATAACTTTTACTATAAAATCATTAAATACAAATGACTTCAATTTTTATTTTTTGAGCATGTATCTGCTTTGTGTTTAAATAAATGACAATATGGCGTCTTACCAGTGTGTGACGGCACACGACTGTTATTAAAACGTCAAACGATACAATGTAATGTCACTTTAACCGGAAGTTTACTTGCGTATGACGTCATTTTAGGCTCCGCCAATCCCAAGCGCTTTGGGTCACGTGACAATAGATAAGAAAACAATTATCTTTTTCGTGGGTTTTTAGTAAAAGTATGAATATTTTTTTGTAAAAATTGTAAAAACCCCTGCCAATATTCATTCTTAACACAGATGCTAACAATCAGCACTTTATTTTTAATACTGTCAAATACCCTATTTACATCATCCCTTGTTTGTATTACCAGAATACTCCAAGAAGCTCGTGATCTCCATGCTATGATGAAGCACTACAAACTGCCAGTGGATGGTGAAGAATTCAATAATATACTGAGGTTAGAACAGGTAAGTTTTGCTTGTGAACTCTGTTCTATCTATACACATATTAAAAAAAATCGTGTGCGTCTCGGGACAAACACGCCAGAAGTAATAACTTAAACTAATCTAAGCAGCGCTGCGGGTTAGAGTGAGAGAGAAGGAGAGGAAGGGAAGCCAGACGGACTGGCGCCGTAACGCGTTACGTAACGAAGCGGTTTATTCTCCCATAAGAAGTTATCATTTAACAAACAAAGTCGCTGAATTTCCTGTCTGATTCTTTGCCTTCTTTAGTTAGAGAAGTAAAACCGCGACTCGCTCTTCTTCAGTTTCAATAAAGTTAACTGAAATTTAGCTCATACTGTTTGAAAAGACAGCGCTAAGTAAAACGCTAAAAGTGGGTCACTCTAATATATCGACTGAGTTGCATCAAACATGGGCCACAAGCTTCGTTATGTTGTAGTTGAACTCCTCCACATTTGTTCTTGAATCCTTCTAACTTGACAGTCACAAATTTTTAGGGTTCCGTAGCCAAATGGCAAAAACGGATCACTTACGGATTCGTCATGTCTGTCTGTCCGTCCGTATGTCACAGCCACTTCTTTCCGAAACTATAAGAACTATACTGTTGAAACTTGGTAAGTAGATGTACTGTGTGAACCGCATTAAGATTTAAAAACAAAAATAGAAAAAAAAAATTGGGGGTTCCCCATACTTAAAACTGAAACTCAAAAATTTTTTTTTTCATCAAACCCTTACGTGTGGTGTATGTATGGATAGGTTTTCAAAAATGATATTGAGGTTTTTAATATCATTTTTTCTAAACAGTTTGCGCGAGAGACACTTCCAAAGTGGTAAAATGTATGGTGTATCCCCCTGTAACTTCTGAAATAAGAGAATGGTAAACAAAAAAAAATATATGATGTACATTACCATGCAAACTTCCACCGAAAATTGGTTTAAACGAGATCTAGTTAGTAGTTTTATTAATACGTCATAAATCGTAAACCGCAATTTACCTTTAAAAAAATACACTATAATTAAAACATCGAATAAAGTTACAACGAAATACAAGAACTTTTATATTATGTTACTTGCTCCTACGGAACCCTTCATAGGCGAGTCCGACTCGCACGTTTCTTGTCACAAAAATAATCTAATACACAGCAAAGATCTCCTTGCTGATTTGTCTGAAGCTGTCCGCATCAGGGGGTCTACACTTTTTCTCCGAACCGAACTTTCGATAACGAAGTTCAAACGAAATTTAATTTCGTCAATTTAAGGTTATACTCAATTTGAACGATAAACTATCAAATAGGGATGATGACTAATTCTTTTTTCTTCGTTTATCAGGTAGATTATCAAAAAGTATTGGACACGTATTTTTTCTTTTTCACATAATATAAACATTGCAGAGATATATTGATTTGAAAAGTCGCATGACGTCACGTTTGAGTACACTTATAAGTGAAAATTCACTCAAAAGTGACGTCACGAGCCCCTACTCCCAAACTTTGACGTGCTATAACTTTGTCATTTTTTGGTTGATTGCCCAAAGAAAAAATACGTGTCCATTATTTTTTGATCATCTAACTGACGGACTAAATAGAATTTCGTTTACTGTACCCCGTCATCACCCCTATTGAAGCTTTCTTTGAGTAGGTTTAGAAAATCTACACCTCAATCTATATTCCGACGACGAATATTACATATTGTATTAAAAAACGAATCAGAAACATAGTAAGAAAAGTGCGAAGTTTCGATAGAAATTTCGTTTTTCGTTGAATTACAGTAGGGCTCCAGGTTTTAAGGTTACATGTTATTTTAATATATAACCTTTAATATGATCTAGGTGGCGCAATTGACGCAAGTGTCTGCCCCGATGGTATCAGCCATGAAAATCAAACGCGTGGCTCACACGTTGGAAGAACGTCGCGCTGCCTTGCAAGCCAGCGTCGCCCAGTGTTCCAGCGACCAAAATACCCTCAATGTCTCGTGAGTGCTTCATACCATCATTATAGCTAACACCTTTTAAAGTTTAAAGTTCTTAGTCCTTTTACACTACGTGAACGGGTGCTGCCAGCGGAGATGAGTCTGCCCTAACTTCCTTGATGTTGAAGATGTTAATGTTTAGTTACACTTAATATGAATAATACTTCTTGTATTTACACTGTATGACACAGCAATCTAAATGCAGGTAAACAATTAATGTATATTTAATCATTATGTAATAAAAGGTGACATAAATCATATCTGAAGTCATTTTTCAACTTGACGACTCTGTAAATAATAAAACAGGGGGGGGAAAATAGCCCTTGCTAAGTTTCTTGCCGGTTCTTCTCAGTACTAGGTCTTTCGTCGTAGATTAACGAACCGATGGCGTAGCTTCTAGACATTCATGAGTGCTTGTAACAGCCTAAACTGATTAAATGATTTTGATTATGATTATTATGATAACTACTCTGCCCCAACACCGTCCTAAACCAATGGCTCAATAACACTCGAATTCGAGCACCTGAAGCAATACCGCTGTAGTATGGAGGCACTCGACTCCGTTCCTTCACGCTTAGCCGTTTACCCGAATTCCATTGGCATTCTTATTCGGGCTAACGACAATGTAATCGCTCAATAAGGCGACTGCTTGCACTCCACGCGACGACAGATAACAGTCACCTAGCGGTATCAGCGGATTGCTTTGTAGATACAGTGGATCCCCGGTAGTCCGACAAACATTTTGCAGGGCAGTGTCGAACTATCGATTTTTTCGGATTATAGAGTACTGCCTTGATGATAAATTTATGCCAAGACCCCCTATAGTCCGTTTTTTTTTTACAAAAGAGTACCTTGTAATCCTACAAATTACAGATCCAATGATAAGATTACAAATCATACTTTGTTATGTACCTATGTCAAATTTAGTAAATTAAACAACACAATAGAAAGATTACGTTTTATTATAAAAGTAACGTCATTAATGCTATAGAATTTACAAAAAAAATATAAAAAAAACAATACCCTACGCGTCGAGCACAGTAGTGATGGTGCGTACAAGTTGTAACTTGTTCAATCGTGAATTAGCGAATACTTGTATGTTATAGACGATGTCGGATTATAGCGGGTGCCGAATTAGCCAGAGGCCGGATTACCGGGGCTCCACTGTAATACTAATTATGTTCCCAATGTAAAGTATAGCTAAAGAGCAATACAGAAACCTATATTTGAATTATGCCGGGTGCGAGCGGAGTCGTGTAAGCGGGCCAATAATAAACTTGATGCTTGTAAAATGTTGTACTCACTTTTCTAATCAATTTCTCTTGCTAGAATAATATATTCAGATTCCTGTTATCCGAAATATATATTGTTATAAACGAACCAGTTCAGGAATATGAACGACACATATTTTTCAAATTATATTGTTAAACGAATATCTGTTTTTATGAGTCGATAAAAACATTACTATTCAAATGCCAACCTAATATATGTACAGTACGAGACAGATTCACTCGTATCTCTGTCACTCTTTTAGTGTTTACGTAACACGCTCCTGTGCTAAGACTTTTCATATCAAGTAACATAAAGTCTCGCGCTCGCATAATTTCACTAACAATACAGTTAAATCTTGTTTAGTTTAAAATAATCGGAACATCGTCAATACGCTTATTTGCATTGTGAATAAAGTTTAATTTTCGACTACTCTGACATTGAAATCTATATAAACTTGAAGCATTTAAACGACCCGCTCGTACCTTCCAAAGATTATTTATATGATCCAGCAACAATCCTAATATGAACCGTATTTGCATTACCAAAAATTTTAATTACGTTCAACATTCTCTATTTTTTTTTCTAGTAAACTTTTCTTTAGGTTTAAACATCTAGCAGTTAAATGCTTAAAAATAAATAAAAACATAACTATAATTGCTATTTCTTCTTTCAAATGTTTAATACTTGAAAAAGTATTCATATGACATTGTGGGTTACCTATAATGCGAAGAGATGGCGCTGCCTTGCAGCTTAAGGCTAGGAAAATTTCGACGCGGCCAATAGGGCCGTGGTAGCATAATGGTCAGTGCATTCGCCCGGACTGCGAAGGGTTCGGGTTCGAGTCCCGGCCGCTGCCTGGTCCGCGTGGATTTTAGTCTAGTAAACTTTTATTTAAGTTTAAACTTAAACTTAAGTTTAAACATAACTACGTTCATCATGTAAATTTTCGTACAGAGTCCAAGCCGGCCTAGCAGGCGCGTGTGCGAACCTCCACAGTTTACCCGACAAGCTGAACCCCGTAATGCGTCCCTTAATGGACAGCGTGAAGAAGGAACCCTCCGAGGAGTTACAGCAGAACTCTGCTGCTACTCTAGCGGAACTGCTGGAACAGCTGGTGACTAGAGACCCCTGTCCCAACAACAAAGTGCTGGTCAACTTGAAGGCTTTTCTCAGGTAAAACGTTTATAGTATCCTTTATAAAAATCATAATAATCGATAGGTCAAATTTGATTAATAAATTACAATATCAAAATATCAATGTTCATTTAGTATTCTAGCTATGGTGTAATAAGGTTTACATATAAATAGTGCAAGTAAATAAGTCCCTTTTTAATAAGGGGCCGTTCAAGTATTACGTAAGCAGATTTATTACAATTATTTACCCCCTCCTCCCCCTCGTCAGCAAGAGTAAGCAAAGCTTTAACCCCTCTCCCCCATCCTTACGTAAACATTGGTACCTATATGCATTTTTCCTTTAATGTATTCTGTTTTTTTTTATTGATGCATGAGCTTCATGAGCAGCAGTACTTAAAAAGGCTTAATCGATGACTCTGACGTAATCACCATCTCGACCCCCCCCCCCCCCCCATGTCATCAAAAATAAGCAAAGCAAAGACCCCCTGCCCCCCTATAGTGCTTTCGTAATACTTGAACAGCCCCTATGTCTAAAGTAGTCTTTATTTTATGATAACTTATTACAAATTTTAGGAGTCATGCTGTAAAAATTGTTTCTAGTCACAGCTTTTAATGCAGTCGGGCACTTAATTTTTTTGAAGAGAAACACCATTTTGAAATAGTTTGATGGGAAACTAAAGTTTGGTTAACGTTCTTGTATGCAGATGTGACCCCGAGGTGACTCCACGAGTATCTCTAGAATGGTCTGAGGACGGCGATTCGGCCAGCGACAGCGGCCCGGAAGCGATGCGAGAACCTTCTACAGCGCCTACGTGTGAGTATCAATACAATTCTTATATTTCACGCATACTTCTGAGATCCGATTTTTCGGTTGTTTAATATATATTGTTTTAAACTTTCATGGTCACTAACATTATAGCTATTAACGGGATTGTTACCATGTACCTTTTTTTCGAACGATCGAACGCAATAAAAGACGACGTAAGAAGGTAGACCGATATGTCTGCCAATAACATCTACCCGCAATTACTTCAGTTACTCCGTGATCATGGCGCTTGCAACAGTGCCAAAATATCGGAGACTCATAAAAAAGAAGGTACATGGTAACAATTCCGTTAATAGCTATAATGTTTAATAAACATATATTGGGGAGATTAGAATTGGTTATTCAATTGAAAGAAACGTCATTTGATACTTTAGAAAAATTTATAAATGGCAAGACTCTTTCGCGACGATGTCGCTATAATTTTAAGTAAGTTCAGCTCTTTGTATGACTATTTGTAATTTTGACAACATTATACATATCATGCTTCATAGGGAATGAGATAGAGAGGCTACAATACAAATACGAATAACAATGTGTAGCATTAGTTTAAGACACAGTTAATTGTGCCCCAGAAACATGTATTACACTGCCAATATAGTATATAGGCCTCGGGTTCGAATCCCGGTGGGGCAAATGTTAGTATACGAGCATATCAGTCTTTCATTATTTACTCTCTAGATAGAACGTCACCTAGTAAACTATTTCGTGTACTTGTGTGCGTGATATTCAAAACATAAACCGCGAATACTGCATATACATAACTGTAGTTTTTGCTGGTGGCCGGAAATACCTCCACGACTTCTTCTTATGACGTCCACTTAATGACTTTTTATGTCGTACGGAATTTAATTGTGGGGAAATGCCGCCGACATTCAAACTATTTTTGTGCTGCAGAAGAGAGCTATTCGATCAATTTATAATCTTAAAGTTAAAGAATCATAAAGAGATAAGTTTAAAGAATTTGGAATGATGACAGTCGCATCACAATACATATACGAAAATTTATTACTTGTAAGAAAAAATATTAATTTGTTTCTTAAATATAGTGATGTTCACACAATTAATACAAAAAACAAAAATAAACTAACTTTACCTGCTACAAGGCTTCACAAGATTAATAATTCAATTAAAGGTCTTTGTGTTCGCTTATACAATAAAGTCCTAAGCAATATCCAAGAGTTAGCCATAAATAAATTTAAAGATATTATAAAAAAAACACTTATTACAAAGTGTCTGATTATATTACAGACAAAAATGCTTGGGTTTGAACTGTTCCAATCATTCCAACAGGTTTTCTATATTAAATAAATCTTAATTGTATTGCCGTTGTAACAACATAATGATTTGTAAATGTTGTTACATTAGACTTTTAATGTTGTGGAGTTTTTTTCACTCGTTTTTCTCCGCAGCTAAAAAATATGTCCATAACGATTGGTAGGGAAAGAAATTTTTAGACGATTCAAAAGAGTTGTACTATACATCCAATTTGAATAAATATATATTGATTTCTATTGGATCATTAGGTAGCCTGGAAATAGTGCTTACCTCTTTTTATGTTCTGTGGCGGTGCTAATTGATGACATAAATTTTTCTAAACACTATTATTGGTGTGAGTGTTAGAAAAAATCATATTTTATTAATTTATTGTTAACTTTGATCCAGTTTGACGTACTATACCGCCTATTTAACGCTTTCTGTTCCCCCAGTGGACAGACACAAGGGTATCCTAACTCTGCGCGAGCAACAACGTCAGGCCGACGCCGGCACCCCGCGACGCGGCCGCCCGCCCGCCCTCAGCGCCGCCCTGCATCTGGTGCCGCCCGAGGACGAGGTATGACGCTGCCTGTATGACACGTGCCGCCCTACAGTAGACAGACACTAGGGTGTCCTGACTCTGCGCCGCCCTGCATCTGGTGCCGCCCGAGGACGAGGTATGACGCTGCCTGTATGACACGTGCCGCCCAACAGTAGACAGACACTAGGGTGTCCTGACTCTGCGCCGCCCTGCATCTGGTGCCGCCCGAGGACGAGGTATGACGCTGCCTGTATGACACGTGCCGCCCTACAGTAGACAGACACTAGGGTGTCCTGACTCTGCGCCGCCCTGCATCTGGTGCCGCCCGAGGACGAGGTATGACGCTGCCTGTATGACACGTGCCGCCCTACAGTAGACAGACACTAGGGTGTCCTGACTCTGCGCCGCCCTGCATCTGGTGCCGCCCGAGGACGAGGTATGACGCTGCCTGTATGACACGTGCCGCCCAACAGTAGACAGACACTAGGGTGTCCTGACTCTGCGCCGCCCTGCATCTGGTGCCGCCCGAGGACGAGGTATGACGCTGCCTGTATGACACGTGCCGCCCTACAGTAGACAGACACTAGGGTGTCCTGACTCTGCGCCGCCCTGCATCTGGTGCCGCCCGAGGACGAGGTATGACGCTGCCTGTATGACACGTGCCGCCCAACAGTAGACAGACACTAGGGTGTCCTGACTCTGCGCCGCCCTGTATCTGGTGCCGCCCGAGGACGAGGTATGACGCTGCCTGTATGACACGTGCCGCCCAACAGTAGACAGACACTAGGGTGTCCTGACTCTGCGCCGCCCTGCATCTGGTGCCGCCCGAGGACGAGGTATGACGCTGCCTGTATGACACGTGCCGCCCTACAGTAGACAGACACTAGGGTGTCCTGACTCTGCGCCGCCCTGCATCTGGTGCCGCCCGAGGACGAGGTATGACGCTGCCTGTATGACACGTGCCGCCCTACAGTAGACAGACACTAGGGTGTCCTGACTCTGCGCCGCCCTGCATCTGGTGCCGCCCGAGGACGAGGTATGACGCTGCCTGTATGACACGTGCCGCCCTACAGTAGACAGACACTAGGGTGTCCTGACTCTGCGCGAGCAACATCGTCAGGCCGACGCCGGCACATCAGCGCCGCAAATTCGGTTTACACACAGATTAGTTTAATATTTTTTCTTTATTTTACCTTAGGCACAGAAAATACTCAAGATACAGAGGAGGGGTGCCACGTTGGCACTGGTTAGTCTCACTAAACATTTTGCTGACGAACTTCCCGAGAAGCTGCCAAAGTTATGGGAATTCATCATCGAGCCACTCGACAGGGTCTTGACTGATGCTGGTAAGTATATTTTACTTCCTAACACTTGTAGTAAATTAACATATTGTTTGATGATACCGTAACAATACTTTTTTTAGAGTGAACTTTGTTGAGGAATTAAGTGATTAGATGATTACTAGCAAACCAGTGAACCAAATGTTCACCAAAACCTATTTAAAAAAAAATGTATTAAATTAATTGAGAACTTCGGAGATTTTGTGTGGTTTCCTTTCAAATTCGTGATTTCTCGAAAACCGGAAGTGCTACGTTACTCAAATCCGGTTTGTAGTCTTATCAGACTATTCTTAACTTATAACTTAAATATTCTCTTTATCTATCTCTTACGGTTTGGCCGCTGAAACAGCACCACAGACAGACGGACGGACGGACTTGTCTAATAGATAAGAGATTCTAGATGTTCATAATCACAAATACAGTTAAAATAGTTAAGCATGCCTTTTAATTAGGTTTTTGTTAGAACGTGTATTTGATATGATTTATCTCTATAGACAGTCAAGATAGATAATAAAACCAAAAATTTTCACGTAGTCCAATAATAATTTATTCGGCGACTTCCGTTGCCGATTGGTATGTACGCGTTTCAAGGTGTGGCCTACTCGAGAGGTCCCGGGTTCGAATCCCGGGGTGGCAGATGTTTGTGTGATGAATACGAGCATTTGTACTTCAGTCATGGATGTTTAATATGTATATTCTATATAAATATACTTATATATGTATTCTATCCGTTACCCTAGTATCCCATAACACAAGCGTACAGTGCTTACTTTGGGGTTAGGTTAATTAGTTTGTGTTAAAAAATAATAATATTATGGTGCCAATTCTGGCATGATTCTCTAAACTTAAAACTTTATTTAACATCAATCTCTCCTTTTCATTCTGTATAAAGAATGACAACAACAACAACAGACTAATGTCAAATTTAGTTTTAAGTTTAGAGAATCCTGCCAGAATCGACACCACTAACTGCCTAAAGTCTACTAAATTTAAAATAATATTAATATCTCAAAGTTAATATTCTATAACGCTTTTTTCTATAATTCAGTTATTTCATAAAAAATATTAATTATATATCTTAAATAAAAAAGTTGAAAGATTTTTTTGGACAAAAAAGCACAAGGCATCATGACGTATTATCATGATCTTCAAGCACAACATTATATATTTTGGGTGTCAAGTTTCATAATCACAGTTTCATCTACACAACAGAGTTAGAGAGCCTAGACGTCGAAGCGGCAGAGGAGATGATCTCGCGACTGCAAGTTTTCGAAGCTGTGTGCGCGCACATAGCGGGTGAACTATGGCAGAGGGTGATAGAAAACGGGGCCCTAGCTCTATGTGCCATTACCAGGGCCCCATATACGGCCCTGAGGCATATGGGGGCGCGGGCCCTGGCCGCCATGGCTGCCCGGGACTGTGTGCCTGTCATGCATGCCGCTATACATGTGGTGAGTGTGCTCTATATAACACAATCTATACATATAATAAAATGGTAGGAAAGTCAAAACTGTACATAATTTTTTTTAAAAAGAATACTTGTGGTGCGATCTACAATCGATACCGAAGCCAAAAATATAGTTTTTAGATTTTTTGTCTGTTTGTCTGTCTGTGTAATAATAATAATTTCTTTATTTCTTCATTGTATGTCCGGGATTAAGTAAAAGTACTGTATGGATTTACTTCAAATTTGGCATGAATATTAAGATTTCGGGTCAACATATAGGCTACATATTATCACGCTATCACCTATGGGGAACGAGCAGTGAATCTTTATTTCTAACTAACTCCACGCGTACGAAGTTGCGGGCGGCCGCTAGTGTATAATAATAATGTATGTTTTATTACTCTCCATAAGTTTAATCCTGACCCACTTATTTTGTTACAACCATTTCAAAACACTAAGGTAGACTTTTTCTTAAATGTACGTATCCCTGTAAACAAACTTGTTTTTTGAAGTTATACTTCTTTAGGCGCGTTATGAAAAAATGATGAGAGTGAAATTTTAAGATGCGCGCGCATCACTGTAACACAAAATATTAACAGCATGAAGTTGGTCGCTAAAGCGACCTGTTACTTTTGTGTTTACCGCACATTAAGAAAATCTACCAACAAAATAGAATCTCTATTTAGTGGGTGCTAACGACTGCATTGTGAAAGCCTATCAATAGTATTTATTAATCTGGAACAACGGAACCAAAGCGCGATTCAGGAGACTACAGCGCCATCTCTTGACCATTGGTGTAGTAGAACCAAAAACCACATCTTTATTTTTTGTAATTAAGTAACAGTTATAGGTATTCATATTTATAATATCAAAAGTATTTATTAATCTGGAACAACGGAACCAAAGCGCGATTCAGGAGACTACAGCGCCATCTCTTGACCATTGGTGTAGTAGAACCAAAAACCACATCTTTATTTTTTGTAATAAAGTAACAGTTATAGGTATTCATATTTATAATATTTATCCACATGTTTCTAGTTTGTATATTCGGAATACGTGTTTGAGTTTCATACAAGTGCAAATCACATATGTTCTAATAAATTATATTCAATAGCGATTTTAATTGAATATTTTGATTATTTATTTATTTTTTCAAATTAAAACTGAACTTTATTGACTGTGTCCTTTTCCAGACTTTTTATTAATTTATTGTAATTAATTATTTGCATGCAATTAAAAACTAATTTTAAACGATGCCAAAGAAGGATAACTTCTCACGCGCCTACATAAGTACACGCACCCATTTTTTTCCGTAATATCACATTGGACGTGGCGGATTTTGCCCCCTTCTTGTGACATTATGTTATGAGTTTTAACCGTAGATTTAGGGTTCCTAAATAATTAATCAAAGTTTTTCCTAATGTCGAGAAATCGAAAGAGTGTCTGTTATATTTCCGATATTGAAAGTTATTTCGAAATTCATATTACTACGAATTTCATGTTAAAAGATAATTTATTATTGCATATAAAACGAAGGTCAAATTTGAAAGATCTCTGATCCACATTAATATAGTTCTCTTTGTTATAAGAAGGTCCCAAGTGCTATCGCATCTATATATAAGAAAAACTTGATGTTTCGTCATTTTTAAGCGAAATAGAGGACAAGTGAGTCATGAATCAATTTGTTTGATAGCACTTTGGCTGCAATAAAGCATTTCTTCTTTACCATCAGCTACTACCAGCGTTGAGCGACGTGCGATGCGAGCGCACCCGCTGCGGTGCTTCCGAAGCACTGACGCGAGTAGTTGACGCGCTGCAGCTGCAAGTGGTGCCCTACATCGTGCTGCTGGTTGTACCGCTGCTGGGTGAGATTATATCATCTGTCATGGGTACAGATAACGGCATATACAGCTGCGGGTCAGACGCGCTGCAGCTGCAAGTGGTGCCCTACATCGTGCTGCTGGTTGTATTCTATCAACTATCTAAGAGATATGTTTTTGGTCACCCATCCAATGACCGACCACTGCGAAAGTTGCTTAACTTTAACGATCGCAGCAGAGCGTGCTAACTACTTGCGCCATACATCGCCATTTTCGATCTCCGTGGTCGAATGGTATGTACGCCGGGTTTCAAGCCGTCGCCTACTCCAGAGGTCCTCCAGAGAATCTTGGGTAGGGACACATGTTTGTATGATGAGGAGAGCATTTGTACTCTCAGTCATGGATGTTTTATATGTATTTATTTATTTTTATTTATTTATTCTTTATGCACAAATGTACAATGGCGGACTTAATGCTGTAGGCATTCTCTACCAGTCAACCATAGGATGTTGTGGATATTATTAGTGGTAGGGTGCACAACTGAAGTGGAAATCACATTGAAGTTTATAAAAATAATAAATATAAATAATAATATATAAACACTAGCTGACCCAGCGAACTTCGTACCGCCCTAAAAAAATAGGGGTTGTCCAGCGGACAAAATTGTGAATCTAAACCATTCTCAGATCCCCTTGAACACACACAAAAAATTTCATCAAAATCGGTCCAGTCGTTTAAGAGAAGTTCAGTGACATACACACTCACAGAAGAATTATATATATAAAGATACACATACATAAGTTAATATATTTAAATAAATACACAAATACATACATTTTTCCAAAATAAATACAAAATAATGACGACAAACCACTCAACGAAACGCCTGTTCTAATAAAAAGCTTCGCAGTTTGGTTTTAAAGGTATATTTACTGGGGGACATTCTGATATCTGATCTACGTATTGTTGTATTAATATCCTTAAATATGAATCAGTATAAATGTATTCTATCTGTTACCTTAGTATCCCATTACACAAGTCTTACGGTGCTTACTTTGGGGCTAGGCTAATTGGTGTCATTATTATCAGTTTATAAATGGCCCCGTTGCTGGGGCACAGGCCTTCCCTATGGATGGCATAAGCGAGATTGGGCAATGACCCACCACGCGGGCCCAGTGCGGATCGGTGGGTGCTAACTACCAATCGCTTAACGTGCCATCCAAGACACGGAAGACCTCGAGATAGTCAATTTCTGGACACCCATCCAATGACCGACCACTGCGAAAGTTGCTTAGCTTCAACGATCACAACTTAGGGGCTATGCTAATTGGTGTGTGTTTGAAATATGATTCAAATTCAAATGCTTTATTGTGAAATGTGGGTTAAGGTTAGTACAGAAAATTGGTGTTAGGTAAAAGTTTAGTGTCACTACATTTCGACCTTATTACAAAGGTATTCAATATTTTTATGAAATAATCATATATATTAAAACCATATACAATTATATTAAAATCTAAATTATTATATTACAATTACAATCAAACAAGTCATAGTTAAAAAAAAATGAGCGAACCTTACAGTAGTCGCGTATGATGTGTAACATTTGAAACCTCACCTTATATTAGTAAAAAAAGAAATAAAACCTACTACAAAAGGAATAAGCCATTTGAACATTATGTTCTACAAACAAATCAAATAGCGCGCGCTTCCCAAACTTCCTGTTTCACACTTCCGTCCCACTTCACGTTATCACTCCCACAAATTGCATGAAAGCGAGAGGAAAGATGTTACACATCAATAAATGTCAAAATATATATATTTTTGTTACTTGAAAGCAAAGGATGTTAAGTCCATACATCCTTTCAAGTAATAAAATTTTTTTACATGTCTTTTTTTGTGTCACTAAACAGGCCCTGCCAGAATAACAGCGCTGGTGCGGTATAATGTCGCATCAGCTAATGCTGAGGCAGGGTCCTGGTTAGCCCTGAGGTTTTTTTATTTGTATCTGTAATGTGTAATATCTGTAATATGTGGGTTAATAAAATTTTATTCTATTCTTATTCTATTAATATTACTATTATCTTTCAGGTCGTATGAGCGACCACTCCCCTTCAGTCCGCGTAATGTGCACTCGTTGCTTCGCGACCCTCATACAACTCATGCCTTTGGACGGCGCCGTGCCGGAACCGGCCGGCCTCGCGCCCGCCGTCCGGGCGAGGAGAAACCGGGACCGGCACTTCCTGGACAAACTGTTCAATCCCAAGACTATAGACGACTACAAGATACCCGTGCCCGTCAACGCCGAATTGAGGAGCTATCAGCAGGTATTATATTATACTCTACACACTATATAGATGCCGTACGGGCGAAAAGAAAACGGGACCGGCACTCCCTGGACAAACTGTTCAATCCCAAGACTATAGACGACTACAAGATACCCGTGCCCGTCAACGCCGATCTGAGGAGCTATCAGCAGGTATTATACTGTATTCTACACACTATATAGATGCTGTCTGGGCGAAAGGAAACCGTGACCGGCACTTCCTGGACAAACTCTTCAATCCGAAGACTATAGACGACTACAAGATTCCCGTGCCCGTCAACGCCGAGCTGAGGAGCTATCAGCAGGTATTATATTATACTCTACACACTATATAGATGCCGTACGGGCGAAAAGAAAACGGGACCGGCACTCCCTGGACAAACTGTTCAATCCCAAGACTATAGACGACTACAAGATACCCGTGCCCGTCAACGCCGAGCTGAGGAGCTATCAGCAGGTATTATACTGTATTCTACACACTATATAGATGCCGTACGGGCGAAAAGAAAACGGGACCGGCACTTCCTGGACAAACTGTTCAATAGCTAGATTCTACGCTGAACTAAGGAGCAACTGATCAGCAAGTGACTTATTTTGATTTTACTTAGAAAAAATGGTAACTTAGATCTGATTTTTAGACTTATCTGTCAATAAAAAAAGAAAAAGCATTTTATTTTATTTATTTCAAAATTAAAAAATGAATTAAAGATGTATCTTATCATCATATATCTTACGTGTCCAGTTGCAATTGCAAAAGTTATTTTAAACGTACTCGAAACTGCTAGATAGCTAAAGCATCAAATTTTTCTTGCAGGCGGGCGTAAATTGGCTCCGGTTTCTGTACGAATACAAACTACACGGCGTGCTATGCGACGACATGGGTTTGGGCAAGACATTGCAGTCCATCGTAGCCGTAGCCTCGTCTCACTACGAGAGGGCCCAGAGTCAGGCCCCGCCCCTCCCCTCGCTCGTGGTGTGCCCGCCCACACTCACCGGTAATGTACCCGCCCCGCTCTGCCACCCCCGCCCTACAGACGCTGCATACATCGTGGCCGGGGCCTCGTCTCACTACGAGCGGGCCCAGAGCCAGGCCCCGCCCCTCCCCTCGCTCGTGGTGTGCCCGCCCACACTCACCGGTAACGTACCCGCCCCGCTCTGCCACCCCCGCCCTACAGACGCTGCATACATCGTGGCCGGGGCCTCGTCTCACTACGAGCGGGCCCAGAGCCAGGCCCCGCCCCTCCCCTCGCTCGTGGTGTGCCCGCCCACACTCACCGGTAACGTACCCGCCCCGCTCTGCCACCCCCGCCCTTGTAGGAAATTGGCTTTGATGCGATACAACACTCACTTAAATGTGATATTAGAGGCCCAAACACGAATTATGGCAGCTCCATAATTGTATCGCATTGTCCTAGTTTCTATGAAAATTAAGCAGCGCCCCCCCCTATCGGACGTATCAACAAACTGGCTGCTTCCAAACAAAATTTGACAATTACGATACGTCAACAGAGCTATCAAAATTCGTGTTTGGCTCCTGGATGGAGTGACAGTTGTAACGTCAGCTTCATAAGCCAAACATTCATTTACTAAAATCTTAACTTTCGTGAGAAAGACTGAAGATCTATTATTAACCACCTTTTATCTGGGCTCGTTATGCGAAAGCTTTTGTTGCTAAGTTTGCTTGACAAGGCATCAATAATTATATCTCATTGCAGTCTCGAATCTTCTATTTATCCCTATATAATATATTATCTTCTATCCTTATCCTATTCCTGTTTGACGAAAGTTTTTTTTATTATTCTTCGTTCTTGATTTTAGTAAGCAACTGTCTGACAAATAAAACGCTCCAATAACTCGTATTCGTGAACAAAGGCTTTTGTAGGAACTTATGTTCTCTTTTTTAAGCAAATCGCAATAAATATACAACCTGCTTAAACAACTGCTTTTGTTTGGCGTTAAGAGTTGACAATATCCCCAGATCAGTTTAAAAACCTATAAAATTGTATGTTTTCCATATACGTACTAATTTATCTGTAATAATGTTGTTCATTGATTGACGACCTCCATGGCCGAGTGGTTTGTACTCCGGGTTTCAAGGTGTCGCCTACTCGAGAGGTTCTCGGTTCCCGGTTTCGAATCCCGGCGAGGCATATGTTGGTGTGATGAATACGAGCATTTGTACTCCAGTCATGCGTGTTTAATATGTATTTCTACTCCCCTAGTGCGATTTACCCTAGGCCTAGTATCCTATACCACAAGCCTACAGTAATTAATATTCATTTATTTTATTTATTGATTTGTGTGCAGGTCACTGGGTGTTCGAAGTAAACAAATTCATCCCTAGTAAATTTCTGAACCCGTTGCAATACGTGGGTCCCCCCGTGGAAAGGGAGAGATTAAGGGCTCACGTGAGGCATCACAACCTTATAGTTGCGTCCTACGACATCGTGAGAAAAGACATAGATTTCTTCAGCAGTATCAAATGGAACTATTGCGTGTTGGATGAAGGACACGTTATCAAAAACGGCAAGACGAAAGCTTTTAAGGCTATCAAACAGCTGATCGCGAACCATCGGCTAATATTGTCCGGGACGCCGATACAGGTAATAATTTATGCCACACGTAAGTTCTTAAAAAAATTATCATCATCAGCCTCTTTATGTCCCCACTGCTGGGGCACAGGCCTTTCCTAAGGATGGAATAGGGAGATTGGGCCATGACCCACCACGCGGGCCCAGTGCGGATTGGCGGGTTCAAACGATTGCAGATGCAACCGGGACCAACGGCTTAACGTGCCTTCCGAAGTACGTAGGAACTAGAGATAGAAATTTTTGGTCACCCATCCAATGACCGACCACTGCGAAAGTTGCTTAACTAGAACGATCGCAGCCGAACGCGCTAACCACCTGCGCCATCGAGCTCCTCATTCTCATTCGATTTAATAAATCCTATTTATCAATCCAAAGGAATAGTAAAGCTCTTTTTGGAAGCGTTATCTAAGTATGTTTGAGTACGATTAAGTAGTTTACTTTTAATTTATACATTTGACGGACTTGTGGTGATGGGGCGTGGGTGATTTACGGGAGAAATGACGTCGAGCGTTCAGTGTGGAACCAACTATTTATTAAATATTACATCTAATATCCCCTTGTCTGTGTAAGTGGATGATTTCTGCCACGAGTTGAGAAAATTATTATATTACATCGTCATCAGGAAAATTTAACAGAATAAATTAAGACGAAACTAATGAGCCCAAGGATTGAATGGAATGCGAACCCAGTCCAAGGTTCCATCTTCCACCTTCCAGTCCCATCATCAGACCTGCTCGATGGTACCATAATATTGTATTGTCATCTAATCTACATATATTTATGTTTTTTAAGCATTTAACTGCTAGATGTTTAAATCTAAAGAAAAGTTTTACTAGAAATAAATCCACGCGAACCAGGCAGCGGACGGGACTCGAACCCGAACCCTTCGCAATCCGGGCGAATGCACTGACCAATTATGCTACCACGGCCCTATTGGCCGCGTCGAAATTTTCCTAGCCTTACGCTGCAAGGCAGCGTCATCTCTTCGCATTGTAGGTAACCCACAACGTCAAATGAATACTTTTTCAAGTATTAAACATTTGAAAGAAGAAATAGCAATTATACATATATTTATCAATTTTTATGATGATACAAGAATTAGAAGTGCGTGTAATTCAGATTCTTAGATTTAATTACATAGTTACAAGTCGAATTAATAAAAGCGTGTTAAAAAAGAATATGAAATACTAACTGCACTAAAAAGTGGTTTAAATTTTTTAAGTACACTTGTTAAAACACTGCGACCAACATGCCGATCATGGGATTTCCGTTTAATCATATATCATCATCCGTATAAACACAATCCTACCCAATGAATAGATAGCCGAATTCATTTGCAGACAGACCTCTCTTTCCCAGTGGGCACTTTGGGCAAGTGCCCAGGGCCCCGCGATCGATAAGGCCCCTCGTAGATCAAATACAAAGTCCCTAGTTCCTGTCAGATCACCAAACGATAACCAATATATATTAGCAAAAAACTTATATAATTCGAAGAAATCGAACCTAAATTACTGACTGCAATACCAACTTACTAGCTTTTACATGCTCGAAGCTATTCTACTCTCGCCCGAAAATTAGGCTTTCCGACTTCAGCATGCTTAGATAAATTTAAATATACATATAATGGTATACTTAGCACATACACATTTTAAAGAAAAATCATCAGTTGTACACTCATCAGGACTCGCTCCATTTCAAGTCATAATCCACATCAAAGTCATAGGGGCCCCATTATCCTAATTTGTCCAGGGTCTCCAATAGGGTAAAGACGGCCCTGTTTGCAGATATTTGATTTTCCAAAGTATTTTGTTTAAAGTCTAGCTGTATGAGTTTGGAACCATGCTTTAGCGACTTTTGTTAGAGAGAAACGCTTCCATGTCATTTATAATTCGTTGTGTGTAATAATATAAATCATAATGTGGACAGAACAACGTGCTGGAACTATGGTCGCTGTTCGACTTCCTGATGCCCGGTCTCCTTGGCACCGAGAGGCAGTTTACTGCGAGATACTCCCGCCCCATACTCGCTGCACGAGACCCCAAGGCCACGCCCGGACATCTGCAGGCCGGGGCCCTGGCCTGCGAGGCCTTACATAGGCAGGTAGGCTGACATTAAGCGGAACTGCTCCCATACTGCGCCATACTGGATCCCAGGCCACGCCCGGACATCTGCAGGCCGGGGCGCTGGCCTGCGAGGCCTTACATAGGCAGGTAGGCTGACATTAAGCGGAACTGCTCCCATACTGCGCCATACTGGATCCCAGGCCACGCCCGGACATCTGCAGGCCGGGGCGCTGGCCTGCGAGGCCTTACATAGGCAGGTAGGCTGACATTAAGCGGAACTGCTCCCATACTGCCCCATACTGGATCCGAGGCCACGCCCGGACATCTGCAGGCCGGGGCGCTGGCCTGCGAGGCCTTACATAGGCAGGTAGGCTGACATTAAGCGGAACTGCTCCCATACTGCCCCATACTGGATCCGAGGCCACGCCCGGACATCTGCAGGCCGGGGCGCTGGCCTGCGAGGCCTTACATAGGCAGGTAGGCTGACATTAAGCGGAACTGCTCCCATACTGCCCCATACTGGATCCGAGGCCACGCCCGGACATCTGCAGGCCGGGGCGCTGGCCTGCGAGGCCTTACATAGGCAGGTAGGCTGACATACTGCGGAACTACTCCCATACTGTGCCATACTGGATCCGAGGCCACGCCCCGACATCTGCAGGCCGGAGCCCTGGCCTGCGAGGCCTTACATAGGCAGGTAGGCTGACACACTGCGGAACTACTCCCATACTGCCCCATACTGGATCCGAGGCCACGCCCGGACATCTGCAGGCCGGGGCGCTGGCCTGCGAGGCCTTACATAGGCAGGTAGGCTGAAACACTGCGGAACTACTCCCATACTGCCCCATACTGGATCCGAGGCCACGCCCGGACATCTGCAGGCCGGGGCGCTGGCCTGCGAGGCCTTACATAGGCAGGTAGGCTGACATTTAGTGGAACTACTCCCATACTGCGCCTAAGGTGGCCTTTGGTATCGAATCTCGTTGGCCGCTATTTAGTTATTAATTTTATTTACTAGCATTGAATATTTTACTAGCATTGAATATTTTACTAGCATTGAATATAAATAATAGGGGTGATGACGGGGTACAGTAAACGAAATTCTATTTAGTCCGTCAGTTAGATGATCAAAAAATAATGTACACGTAGTTTTTCTTTGGGCAATCAACTAAAAAATGACAAAGTTATAGCGCGTCAAACTTTGGGAGTAGGGGCTCGTGACGTCATTTTTAGTGAATTTTCACTTAAAAGTGTACTCAAACGTGACGTCATGCGACTTTTCAAATCAATATATCTCTGCAATGTTTATATTATGTGAAAAAAGAAAAAATACGTGTCCAATACTTTTTGATAATATACCTGATAAACGAAGAAAAAAAAATAGTCATCATCCCTATTATCGGTTTATGTGTTATACTATAAGGTATTTATCTATGAGCCTATGTTGCCTAATTATAAATAAATATATTGATAGGTGCTGCCGTTCCTCCTGCGTCGCGTCAAAGAAGACGTTCTAAAGGAACTACCTCCGAAGATAACGCAGGATTACTACTGCGAGCTGAGTCCTTTGCAGCGTCGCCTCTATGAGCACCTGGCGAGGGACCACGTGCCTGCCGACGTCACCAGCACCACGCACGTGTTCCAGGTGATGATGCATCCTGTCAGATCCAATCTCTTATCTATTAGACAAGTCCGTCCGTCAGTCTGTGATGCTGTTTCAGCGGCCAAACCGTAAGAGATAGATAAAGAGAATGTTTAAGTTATAAGTTAAGAATAGTCTGATAAGACTACAAACCGGATTTGAGTAACGTAGCACTTCCGGTTTTCGAGAAATCACGAATTTCAAACGAAACCACACAAAATCTCCGAAGTTCTCAATTAACTTTTGGTGAACATATGGTTCACTGGTTTGCTAGTATCATTTATTCTTTTAAACTTTCGTGGTCACTAACATTATAGTAATAGGACCGACTGGGCGCCATATTGCTATATTGTCATAGCTGTCAATTCAAACAAAATAGGTAGAGTGAGCAAAAAATAGTTTTTATTTAACAAAACTAATTCACTAAGATTAAGTGAGAAAAAACATCCGACTTTTTTTAATATTTTTTTTACTAAGATTGAGAGAAAAAAAAGGTTTTAATAATATTTATTTAATAAGACTGTGTGAGAAAAACATTAATCAGAATCTAGCTCTTCAATTCCGCTCATCTCTGCATTACCGCCGGAGTAGTTATGAATAATCATGCACTATTACTAGGTCACATACGAACATGCATCCTTTATGTAAACGAAAGTCTTAAACTGAGTTTCTGAATGCAACTTAAAATGACATTTGGTTGACGATTAAGGTTATCAACCATTCATAGCCAGAGCTCAATAAATGAAAAAAAAATATCAACCAATATTAATTATCAATATTTGTTATTGTTTGTTTACAAATGTTTGGTTTTTATTCTCGAATTAGCTGAGTGCTAAAAAAGGGTTCCAAGATTTTTTTGCAAACCATACTTTTCAAGCGACATTTGACAGGTGGAGGTCATTGGCTTTCCTATTCCAATTTGAATCGCACTATAAGTCGGAAACTCGTTTAAACAAGGTACATGGTAACAATCCCGTAAAAATAACTTATATTACTATCAATGGCAATATTTTTGTCCTTTTTTGATAACAAATGGCGAATATAAGCGAATAACATTCATGAAAAGCCGTGATTTTCGAGAATTTTCTAAAATTTTCTGCGTTTCAGGTTATCAACCGTCCACCTCTTTGTAGTACAATATCAATCAATCAATCAATCAATACTTTATTGCGTTCTACAATGTTTTCTTAGATCTTAGTAGGTACATTGCTTTGATCATTGTAGACCCTAATATATATACCCTAACATAATACAACACAGTGTACTATAATTAGAACGTATTGATTAATCTCTTATCTATTAGACAAGTCCGTCCGTCCGTCTGTGGTGCTGTTTCAGCGGCCAAACCGTAAGAGATAGATAAAGAGAATATTTAAGTTATAAATTAAGAATAGTCTGATAAGACTACAAACCGGATTTGAGTAACGTAGCACTTCCAGTTTTCGAGAAATCACGAATTTCAAACGAAACCACACAAAATCTCCGAAGTTCTCAATTAATTAAATACATTTTTTTTAAATCAGGTTTTGGTGAACATTTGGTTCACTGGTTTGCTAGTATTATTTATTAAACAACAAATTGGTTTGACAATCATATTATTGGAATTTAAGCGTAGGTTAGTGTGAATACAAGGTCTTTGATATGCGTAAACTAGAAAGGTGTATGATTTATTTTGCTAACACGTTGTATATCAATAAAAGTAGATAACTCAAGGACGTTATCGTGTGGATCAAAGTGAAATCGATTAGCTGGTAATACTCTAATCATTAAATAGGTAAAAAATAGTTAAATAGGTTAAAAATGTGAGCCGTCACGTGACGCCTGGCAGATGTGAAACATCGACAATATTTTGTAAAAGTAATATGCAGAACACAACATATAGCTAGATGTTTAAATCTAAAGAAAAGTTTACTAGAAAAAAATCCACGCGGACCAGGCAGCGGACGGGACTCGAACCCGCACCCTTCGCAATCCGGGCGAATGCACTGACCATTATGCTACCACGGCCCTATTCGCCGCGTCGAAATTTTCCTAGCCTTAAGCTGCAAGGCAGTGCCATCTCTTCGCATTGTAGATAACCCACAATGTCAAATGAATACTTTTTCAAGTATTAAACATTTTGAAAGAAGAAATAGCAATTACAGATATGTTTTTTTATTTATTTTTAAGCATTTAACTGCTAGATGTTTAAAACTAAAGAAAAGTTTACTAGAAAAAAAATTTTTTTTCTTCTTCGCCTTGCAGCTTAAGGCTAGGAAAATTTCGACGCGGCGAATAGGGCCGTGGTAGCATAATGGTCATAACATTTTTTCCCCAGAAAATGATGACTGTTTCTTTAATAAACATTTATTATCATTAAATACGTAAATCGAATTCTACATCTACCATACATACTAATTGTTCGGACCACTGCGTGAAGAAATCGGACCTTTGCGCCATTGGGACACGTACATCACCATCATACCAACCAGACGTTGCACTATTGGCTTCTCATCACGCGATATTTGAAGGCCACCCAATCAGAAGACGGACTACCGCGGGACATAAAAATTCAAATCGTAACCACATCAGCATATAGACTGTATACCTTCATAAAGCTTGGCGACGCTTCGCACGGCATGAGTCGCCACGCCAGAAATCGATTTTACGTGCATCTATACATGCACAATCAACAGAATTAATGAAATGACGGACTAATTCGTTTGTGCTCTGAGCGAATTCACAAAACAAGCTGAATGGATCATCGGTTACAATTAAATATCTTTCCAATGTGTATCTTAATAGTATTATAGTGTATTTCTTAAATGGATGTATCTTTTGCCTTGGGTAAATACCTGTAATGATAGATATAAGTATTTGATATAAAGAAATAAATAAAAAAATTGTGCGTGTCAGCTCCGACGCACGACTTCTTAAGTTCGATAGTCTAACCAGACGCAAAAAGAGTTTATTTAACTTAAAAAAGATTGATACTGTATGAAAGGGTAAATTAACAAATTAATGAAAATAATATACATATATAAATATATATTTATTCATTTCATATACATTTATTATAACTAATCGACGAAATATTTTACATTAAACTTTTTACAATAGTCAATTTCAGATGTGCATAAATAAAGGTACGCTACGATACTGTGCTACGGTGTAGCACTACGGCTACTACAGCGTAGACAGTAAAAACGTAACGAGGTCATTCATCGATAGATTTCACTCCTCACATTTTTCTCATACCGGGCCCCTTATATATGCAAATCGATTCTTAAAGAGTAAACTTCAAAAAGATGTTACAAAAATTCGTTTAAATAAATTTGATTTGGTTTGCTGATAGTGTTTCATTCACATTTAAAATGCTGTCTCTTTGATCGCAGGCTCTCCACTACCTCCAGAACGTATGCAACCATCCAAAACTAGTGCTAAGCCCCGAGCACCCGGAGTGGGGCCGCGTCAGCCAAATGTTGGCCGCGCAACGATCATCGCTCGACGACATCCAGCACGCGGCCAAACTGCCCGCACTCAAGTATGTACTCTAACACTAAATCTATACTCTGAAATTTTATTACTAGCTGACCCAGCGAATTTCGTACCGCCATAAAAAAATAGGGGTTGGTGGTAGAAGAGTGAAAATTTAGGGTTGTATGTATTTTTGTATGATGTATCATAAAAAAATTAAAAAAAAATATCTAAAATTAAAAAAAAATTAGGGGTGGATTACCCTTAACATTTAGGGGGATGAAAAATAGATTACATCCGATTCTCAGACCTACTGAATATGCATATAAAATTTCACGAAAATCGGTCGAGCCGTTTCGGAGGAGTTTAACCACAAACACCGCGACACGAGAATTTTATATATTAGATTAAACATATAATAAAATGGTGGGAAAGTCAAAACTGTAAATTGAATATTTTTTTAAAGAATACTTGGTATGTGATCTACAATCGATACCGAAGCCAGAAATATAGTTTATAGAATATTTATCTGTTTGTCTGTATGTATGTCCGGGATAAATTCAAAAAGTACTGCATGGATTTACTTCAAATTTGGCACGAATATTATTAAGAAGTCGGGTCAACATATAGGCTACATATTATCAGAATATCACCTACGGAGAATGAGCAGTGAACCTTTATATCTAACTAACTGCCCGCCCTCAAGTATGTACTGTAACACTAAATAAATAAATATTTCCAACACTCACACCAATTAGCCTAGCCCCAAAGTAAGCACAGTAGGCTTGTGCTATGGGATGCTAGGGTAACGGATAGAATACATATACTGATACATATATAAGTATAATTATATAGAAATACCAATTATGCATATTTTACGAGGAGCTCGATGGCGTAGATGGTTAGCGCGTTCGGTTGCGATCGTTGAAGTTAAGCAACTTTCGCTGTGGTCGGTGATTGGATGGGTGACCAACAATATTCTATCTCGAGCTCCTCCGTGCTTCGAAAGGCACGTTAAGCCGTTAGCACACGCCAATCCGCACTGGGCCCGCGTGGTGGGTCATGGCCCCATCGCCCTTTTCCATCCATAGGGAAGGCCTGTGCCCCAGCAGTGGGGACATTAATAGGCTGATGATGATGATGATGATGACATATTAAACATCCATGACTGGAATAAAAATGCTCGTATTCACCACACATCCCACCGGGATTCGAACCCGGGATCTCTCTAGCAGTTGACACCATGATACCCGGCATACATGCCACGGAGGTCGCCATCACCCTAGCACGAACCATTATCGAATTCAAATAGTTGAATTCCTTCTATTTTATACGTCAAATGTGTACTGATTTTTAGTTCTCTTTACTTCCGTTGTGGAGCTGCTATTCAAGTTTCCATACAAAATTTGATAATGAAATTTCGCACTCGCAAACTATTCGAATTCGATATTGGTTCATGCTAAGGGTACTGCACTCAATCAATTCCAACCTTAGTTTAACTTTAAACGCTTCCACTAATTAAAAGCCAGTCCTGTACAAAAAAACGATGATTTCTCGGGAAACGTACCGGAAGTACGTACGTGATGATTTTAAAGAAATCTTGCATACAACTAAACGAGTGCGCGAAACATTTTGAAAAACGATTTATGTTTATGGACTCCATAAAAAGTGGAATTTTTTAATTCTGTTGGGTTCAGTAAAAAATAAATAAATTAATATTTCAATTTTCAAGTTGCCGCAAAACCGTTTCTATGTACCTTATGGTGTGTCACTAGTATGTGACGTCACACGACTGTCATGAAAACGTCAAACACTACAATGTAATGTCACTTGGCCGAAAGTTTACTAGCGTGTGACGTCATTTTAGTCTTGGCCAGAACCGTCTCCGTGGTCACGTGACCGAAAACGCATGGGCGTTTTCGGTCACGTGACCATGGAGCAAAAAGTCATTTCTGTTTAATTCGGAATACTAAAATCTTTTGTATTCTTTGTATATTTGTAAATGCATTAGTACATTGTTTTTCATACTAGCTATATTAGATAGAATTTAATATACAAATAAGCATTTTAAATTTTTCCTCAGGCAATTGCTATTGGAATGCGGCATCGGCGTCAGCTCCACAGAAGCGGACCCTGGCTCGGAAGCGGGCGCGGAGACGGCAGTGGTGTCTCCCCATCGAGCTCTAGTCTTCTGCCAGCTCAAGCGGATGCTGGACATCGTGGAGAAAGATCTGCTGCAAAGACATCTGCCTTCAGTGACCTACCTGAGGCTGGATGGATCCGTACCGCCGCAGCAAAGACACGCTATAGTTTCCAGATTCAACGCTGATGTCACTATAGATCTGCTCCTGCTGACTACTGCTGTGAGTCACCGTTTTCATTTTCATCTTCTTTTACATTTTTTTTTTTTTTTTATAAATATTTCCAACACTCACGCCAATTAGCCTAGCCCCAAAGTAAGCACTATAAGGCTTGTGTTATGGGATACTGGGGTAATGGATAGAATACATATACTTTACATATATAACTATATTTATATAGAAGTACATATTTAAACATCCATGACTGGAGTACAAATGCTCGTGTTCATCACACAAACATCTGCCCCCACCGGAATTCGAACCCGGGACCTCTCGAGTCGGCGACGCCATGAAACCCGGCGTACAAACCACTCGGCCATGGAGGTCGTCAAAATTTTGCAATTTCATCTTCTATCTTCAACGATACTACTACGACTACAAAATGTGTCCCAACCCATCGAGCGCTAGTCTTCTATCAGCTCAAGCGGATGCAGGACATTGTTGAGAAAGATCTACTGCAAAGACTCTGCCTTCAGTGACTTAGGTACGTCGTCGCCGCAGCAAAGAGATGCTATATTTGTAGCAAAGAGATTGACATTTATGCATAATTTGAGATATAAGTGGTTTAATACAAATTATGTTCCTTATATACATAATTGTTTAATAATTAAATTCTTTTGTAATTTTTACCTTTAACTGTTCTCTATATTACCCTGACAGGGTTCATGTTAGGTACTATAAGCATTTTGTAACCACATGAGTGCAATAAATTGAATTGAATTGAATATTTTCAAGAGAAAATCTAGCGATTTTGCAGAAAGGCGGTTAATAATTCGTCAATGGCGATTATTTTACTCAATTTTATTGTTAACGTTTGTTTTCTGGCGCATCGCCGGACGCTGCTGTTGCACACGCATTACGCTCGTTCGACTCGAATTTTATGGTTGCAACATTAAGAGCCCTTTTACATTTTTTGCAAAAAATCGTAATTTTTGAGCGCCTCGTTTACCCCCTTAGAAAACATTTTCACTATTTCCAATAAAAGTAAAACGTATATTTATTCTTTCTATTGTAAGTGAATGTAGAATATTTACATATACTACTTTCCTTTTTTTGTACTGATCGTTCTACCGCAGCTAGTTTACGAAAAAAAAACGATAGTACGCACAACTTCAAACGCCTAATTCTCTAAATAATGTACAATAAATTAAATCAAATTAATCACTACGACATCAGAAATAAGTTTTTTTTGTAACATAATGTATTAGAATTTAGATTTTGCATCTCATTAATTATCAAAAAAAACATCTAACCTCCGTGAGTTTTCCCAAATAATAATGCCGGTTTACCTCGTATTTTGATATTGAATGAATAGAATTACTATCAAAAACTTTCATAAAACTTGATTTGATTTTAACTTGAATTCAATGGTTGATTAGTTTTATGAAAGTTTTGAACTTTATAATGCACGAAATCTAACTTACCTACTTTGAATATGAAATAAAAATTCAGCATTTTATACATTTGTAATGGAAAGTAAAGTTATCTCATATTGAAGTCATTTTTAATTTGACGACTCTGTATAATATACTAGTGCAAATCTACCTATGCGCCGATCAGTACGGCAGCGGCGCAATTTTGTAAAAGGGCTTTTAAGGCTGCCATCGTGCCGAGATTCAACGATGACGTCATCACCATCGAACTGCTACTGCTAACTACTATTGTGACATCTTCTTTGTATATAAAACAGGGCTTGTAACCGGTTTCGACAATACCGGTAAATAAAGGTTAATACCGGGTTTTAGTAAAGGTTTCGTTCGGAGCGCCTACGAAATGAAAGCGGTACCAAAAACCTTAATAAACCGGTTTAATCCAGAGCGACACGTGCACGCGTCGGCATCGCTTGAAGTTTGTTTTGTTTGAACTAATCAAGTCGCAACTTGTTAATGCTCAGAGATTGATGCATTTATTGACACGTTTGCTAGCGTCTAGTGAGTCAAGTTATTCATTTTGAAGTAGTGTACTGACACACTACTTCACTCACTCGCTCTGTAGTTGGAAAGAAACTTTTATAAAATCATTATAAATTTGAATTGAAACGGCGAAGGCGATACCGTCAGTAAGAGCGAAATGAAACCCTTTAAAAACCGCTAAATTGATTCAGAACCTATTTGATTTAGCTTTTTAGGAAAACCGGTTTTTTAAGGTTAAGGTAGAGCCAAACCTAAATAAAACGCTCCTAATGTACTTGATACTGATTTAGGTTTGAAAATTAACCGGTAAACAAGCCCTGATATAAAACGTATCTAATCGTAATCGTAATCGTAAGGCATGTTGGATTTACACTAGGTTTGGTTAGGATATTGTTGTAACAATGAAACGCGAGCCGAGCGACCGCAACCAGCGTGCAACGGCAGCGACCGGCGAATCGTCAGAAAAAAAACGTGAACAATAAGATTGACTTAAATAATCGCCATTGAAGAATGGTCAAGAATTCTGCAAATTTGGCCACTAGGGGCGCTGTAATCGCTTGACCCAAAGAACACTGCATGCGGTAAGACTAAAATATAATTTTATATGTTGCTTTGAAAGGGGGGGGGGGGGAGAGGGTGTAAAACTAAGCCGCTGTTTACATCATTGTATCTGGGGCAGGTAATTGCATCTGGATGTCTTCATTTTGATAAGAAAAAACAGCACCTAAAATTAAAATTGCGGTCATATGCCTCAAGTCTGTAAAAAAACCTCTATGAGATGTCTGACTGATGCAAAAATAAAATAGATTTGAGTAATGAGCAAGCTTACAATTACTCAGAGCCATGAACTATTAAAATAATCATGGAAAATGCATCTATGTACCGAGAATGAGCATTCTAGCATAATAATAGAAAGAGTACCTTTCTACTGGATCAGCTTCTCTGCCTTGCATATATGCTCCTCTCCTTTTCAACTCTGTTTTCAGCTGTATTACAGACCATGTTGAATACATTTTCATCACATATTTCATATTTTTTAACAAAAAAAAACACGTTTAAAATTTGACAGCGGCAATATATGGCTGTGGTTTGGGTCAAGCGTTTGCAGCGCCATCTATGTCGAGCTTTGCGTATACTTCTTCATTATTATGCGCGTTTTCGCAAAATCGAGAATAGAAGCCAACGAGAATATTTTATAATAAGCCAACGAGTTGCGTTGTCGCAAGAGTCCTATCTTTTTTCAGTAACAATTTAGAAATGCCATCACCATTGTCTAATTTAATCCGCGTTTTCGATTGTAAGCCGTTATTACGATACTATTATTTATTTTGTTTATATTAACTACCTGTAACTTTATTCGGGTCGCTAAATTGGCCTTTTCGTATAAAATATATATTATAAAAAAAAAATCTGTTATTATTTAACGAGGGGCTCGATGGCGCAGATGCTTGGCACCTTCGGTTGTTGAAGTTAAGCAACTTTCGCAGTGGTTGGTCATTGGATGGTTGACCAAAAATCTTCTATATCTAGTTTCTCCGCGCTTCGTTAAGCCGTTGGTGCCAGCTGCATCTGCAGTCGCTAGCACCTGCCAATCCGCACTGGGCTCGCTTGGTGGGTCACGGCTCAATCTCCCTATTCCATCCATAGGGAAGGCCTGTGCCCCAGCAGGGGGGATGGGGGGATATTAATAGGCTGATGTATTTCTGAAGTCATTTTTCAACTTGTCGAGTCTCTATATAACAATACAGGGAGGAAAAAACAGCCCTTGCTGAGTTTCTTGCCAGTTCTTCTCAGTACCAGGGGGCCATTCGCCTAACGGAAATGCTTTGGACAACGCTAACGCTTACGATTTCATTTTGTTATTTCTAGCCGCTTGAGGTTTTCAAATGCCTCGCGCTCGTTTTTTTCTTTTGCATTGGTAATAATGATATTAAAAAAAATGAGCGTGAGGTATTTGAAAACCTTCGGCGGTCAGATATAACAAAATAAAATCGAAAGCATTAGGGTTTTCCAAAGCATTTCCGTTAGGCGAATGGCCCCCTGGTCTCCCGCCGTAGTTTGCGAACCGATGGCGTAGCTTCTTGACAGCCTAGACTGAATAAATGGTTTTTGATTTTGATGATGATGATTATTGAACAGGTGGGCGGTCTCGGTCTGAACCTGACGGGAGCGGACACGGTGATATTCGTGGAGCACGATTGGAACCCCATGAAGGATGCTCAGGCCATGGACCGAGCCCATCGCATCGGACAACGGCGCGTCGTCAACGTATACCGGCTCATCACCCGCGACACGCTGGAGCAGAAGATCATGGGGTGAGGACACACATCCCACCATACCAAATGCAACCTTACCTAAAGCCAAAACGCAGTATTTTTAGCCACTTTTTATATAATACTAGCTGACCCAGCGAACTTCGTACCGCCATAAAAAAATAGGGGTTGGTGGTAGAAAGTTGGAAATTAAGGGATGTATGTATTTTTGTATGACGTATCATAAAAAAATTAAAAGAATAATATCTAAAATTGAAAAAAAAAATTTAGGGGTGGATTATTACCCTTAACATTTAGGGGGATGAAAAATAGATGTTGCCCGATTCTCAGACCTACCCAATATGCACACAAAATTTCATGAGAATCGGGAAAGCCGTTTCGGAGGAGTTTAACCACAAACACCGCGACACGAGAATTTTATATATTGGATGTTCAATAAAGAGTGTTTAAGAAAAAACTAACCAACCATAAAATAAAAGATATATTAAGACCTTAAGATTACGATGAGAGGTTTTTTAGTACTTATTGGGTAGAGGAAGACTTAAGAATACCACGTAACTATATATACACACACACTCATTACATACACACACATAACTATACACACGCACACACAATACACATGTACGGGAAACGTTCGTTGCTGTTAATGTAGTTAATGAGATTGTTAGTGTTTTTTTTTCTCGTCTTCCATTTGGCTAAATTCAACAATCTATATATGGTTTATCCTATCGGGCTTAGGAGAAATTAGTTTGGACTAGGCTATACTAGTTAATCCTATCGCGTATAGGAAGAAGTAGTTTAGCCTAGGCAAAACTAGTTTGTCCTGAAATCGGGTTTGGCCGGTAACATATATATAAAACTCAAAGGTGACTGATTGACATAGTGATCTATCAACGCACAGCCCAAACCACTGGACGGATCGGGCTGAAATTTGGCATGCAGTTAGATGTTATCACGTAGGCATCCGCTAAGAAAGGATTTTGATCAATTCTACCCCCAAGGGGATAAAATAGGGAATGAAAATTTGTATGAAACTTTGTCAAATTTAAACCGATCGGGCTGAGACTTTGCATGCAGGTATAAGGAGAATCATAGATGAATGTCATTGTGTATAATACAAGCCTGAGAACAAAAACTGTAGTCTACACTTCAGCTCTACACCGAAGCGAAGCGAGGGCGGGCCGCTAGTACCTAATAAGATTTATCATCTTAGGAAGGGACTGGCTTCTGATACACAAGTTTGACTTACATCGGCAGTCAGGAAGATGTTGATTTGTAAATTGGTAATGTTGAAATAAAGATTTAAAAAGAAATGCAACATACATACGTCACACACGCGACATATTACGGCGACAACGGCACGTCTTAAACTTCTACCGGCTTATCACCCGTGTCACGTTGAACTGACCATGGTGATCATGAAGATCATGGTGTAAAGGCATTTAGGGCCAAAAGGGACCAGCAGGCCTATTCGCTTACTGCTTTAGACAGATGGAAGTGATAATCACCGAGCTATTAAGTGATCCATTACTTTATTGAAACGCCAACTACGATACTTGTTCTGAAAAGCATCGATGAATATGCAATTTTGTCTTTAGTTACACTCAGTCAATGTCAAAAAAGTTAGCTAATAGGCCGGCTGGGGCAGCTGCGTAGGCCAGTGACAGGCCAATTTTGACTGCGTTTTATAGAGTAATGCCGGCATTTCACATGGCTATTCGTATTTGCTATTTGTAAACATGACAACAGTCTCTCCTTTTCTTTTCCCATTGAGTGTGAAAAGGACAACCTGCTGTCAAAATGGGCATGTAGATTTCGCCGCCACATGACGAATAGCCGTGTGAAGTGCCGGAATAATAAAGTTAAAACTGACAGCTAATCTTAGAGACCAAAAGCGCTAAAATTAAAAATATTGTATCACATACCAAGCAAACTCAACTGCAGGAGAAGCCTAAAACAATAATTTTAATATAGAGTATACTCAGTACAAATTACACAAAATAAATAGTACGTAAATAAATTCAATTCAAGTCTTTCTCACCATATATACATTTTTTTTAAATATAGTTATTTGGAATTTGGATAGTCTTTTAAAATGTAAATTTACATTTCCAAAAGAAGGCGTTTCACATGAAACGAAAAAACTCACTGAAAATCCTTTCCATTACTAATAATTGTTCAACAACATGCTAGTTAAATTTATATATATAAAACTCAAAGGTGACTGACTGACATAGTGATCTATCAACGCACAGCCCAAACCACTGGACGGATCGGGCTGAAATTTGGCATGCAGGTAAATGTTATGACGTAGGCATCCGCTAAGAAAGGATTTTGATCAATTCTACCCCCAAGGGGATAAAATAGGGAATGAAAGTTTGTATGAAACTTTGTCTATTTTAAACCGATCGGGCTGAGACTTTGCATGCAGGTATGTATAATACAAGCCTGTGAAGAAAAACTGTAGTCTACACTTCAGATCTACACCGAAGCGAAGCGACGGCGGGCCGCTAGTCTAACAATATATTTAGATATTCCTTGATTTGAAAAGTACCCCCCTATATTTATATTTTCTAAGAAATCTTCTTTATATTTATATAATGTATGTTTTCAGATTGCAGAAGTTCAAGCTGATGACCGCAAACACTGTGATCAGTAGCGAAAACGCCGCCATGGAGACCATGGGCACTGAGCAGCTGCTGGACCTGTTCCAACCACCTGGAACCGCTGCACCATCGCCTGTCCAGCATCATGCCATCACGGTATCTACTGCTACTGTCCATAAACTATAATAATTACTGTTCTATACCTAAAAAACTGTATCCGAATTTGGTATCAGATACAATTTTGAAATTTTCGAGGTTCAGGGGTGATGCGGGGAGGGGTCCTGAATCCTAATTTCCGATATATTTTATCCATTCTATTTCCATTCCATTTATTTCCATTCTAAATTCCAAAATATTGTCCAAACACCCCGGATTTGCTCGACTTCCCGAGTCTTGTCGCTAATTCATGGTTATTAATTATGTATTCTGTGACAGGGAGTATTTTATAATAATAATAATAACAATCATTTATTTCAGACCGTATAGTCCATAGAGGGTTAGTAACATTAAAACTTAGAAACTATGTTAGTACAATTCTATTTAAACTATTTGTCCCATCCAATGTCTCCACATTGTTTTATAGAACCAAAAATATTTACACCTTAAGGTTTTTGCATAAATCAATTATTTAAACCCTAATAAAGGCAAGAGTTCAATTCCCAGATCACTATTTTAAGTAAAAAAAAAAAGATATGAAGTAGCAAAGTTTTTGAAATTTGCGCATGAAAAAATTAACAATTTAATTTCCTCAAAAGACGGTTCCATATCTGTCCATGAGATATTTGCCACTTGCTAAGGAATTATTGATGGCATAATTTTGTAATTTTATTTTATTTATAAGTGTCCTAGTTTCCAAGAAATATAGTTTTTTTAAATTTCGATTTTTAATTTTTTTCTCCAAAAATCGGCAAAAGTGGAACCTGGATTTAGTACAGAAAGGTTCTATAAGCCAAGTTCTATCACCCATAAAAAAATCAAGTTTCACTTTTGCGGTTTTAAGAAGTTATGACAGAATTTAGATAAAGGTCAACATTCATGATCTAGGGTTGTCACAAAGGTCAACTATGAGTTAAATGAAAATGTTATTTTTTTTTGTTATTAATACCGTCAATCAATTGAATAAATTATATTATATTATAATTGAATAAGTGTTGTACTTATAGACGAATACAATATACTTACATATACTACCTACCTAATGTAGATGTGATAATGTAGGAATACTTTATGTTTTAATTTTGACGACCACATTTTAATTATGCCTTACACGCTAAATGGCAACGAAAAAATAAACTATGTTGTTTGAAAAAATTTAACACACATCCTATACTATAAATGAGCAATTATTGTATGTACCTATATAAATATATTGGTATGTAATTGGTTTCTCGGAAACGGATCTAACGGTTGTGATGAAATTTTGGATTTAGAAATTCATTCACATTTCAATCAATCTAGGATAGTGTCATCACCTGCCGGCACCTTCTTTATGCAACACCTCTACTTTAACTTTTATACAAATAAATCATCGTCGTTTAATAATTCTAGGTTGCTTTCATTTGCGACGTTCGAAAAATCTTCATCTTCAGCATCTTCCTCTGCTTCGAATAACGGCAATCGATCTGCATCAATTGGTTGTAAGAGCTCGCAAACAGCTGAAGGCAAGGGAAATCGCTTAGAATATTTTTGACGTTGGCTGATATTTGCCATAGAAATAAACGGGTCTGATGATTCTAGGGCACGGTGAAAGAGGTCCGTCATTGTGGTTCTCCTTTTCATTTTTCGGCAATGATGCTCTCTTTCTGAACGCCAGAATTTATTTCGGGACTCAGCTGCTTGTTCAGATAGCATACCGATGGGCAGTGCACTGGACGCAATAATTTCTTCACCGTGCATCAGGATTTTATGAACTGTTACTGTCATCGGGTGCCAACTATAAAAACGGACATATTTTTCAACCCTAGATCATGAAAGTTGACCTTTATCTAAATTCTGTCATAACTTCTTAAAACCGCAAAAGTGAAACTTGATTTTATGGGTGGGTTTATGGGTGATAGAACTTGGCTTATAGAACCTTTCTGTACTAAATCCAGGTTCCACTTTTGCCGATTTTTGGAGAAAAAAATTAAAAATCGAAATTTAAAAAAACCATATTTCTTGGAAACTAGTACACTTATAAATAAAATAAAATTACAAAATTATGCCATCAATAATTCCTTAGCAAGTGGCAAATATCTCATGGACAGTTATGGAACCGTCTTTTGAGGAAATTAAATTGTTAATTTTTTCATGCCCAAATTTCAAAAACTTTGCTACTTCATATCTTTTTTTTTACTTAACTAATTACTACTTAAAAAAGTGATCTGGGAATTGAACTCTTGCTTTTATTAGGGTTTAAATAATTGATTTATGCAAAAACCTTAAGGTGTAAATATTTTTGGTTCTATAAAACACTCGGTGTCAACCCTAGCATAAAAACTTAAAAATTAACATCTTCTAAACGCTGCAAAAGTGACACGTGGCTTATTTATGTATGATAGACCACATCCGTAGGTTTATTTCTATCTAAGTTCTAGGTTCCACTTTTTCGTTTTTAGGGAGAACAAACAATAAATACGAAATACAAAAAAAAATGCTGCTCCCAAACCAATGCATTTTTTTAAGCTAAAGAAACGTGTTTATACGCCTCTGATTATGCCCGATTGACACATATTTATTAAAAAAATATATTGTTAATATTCACTTTATAAAAAAATATTCTAGATTTCATAGGTCAAAGATCACGATAAGTTCATGATTTTTTTTCTCAAAAAGTATTTGAGTTAGACTTCTGTAAATTGAACTCATGCCTTTTTTAGGGTATAAATAATCTATTTATGTAAGAACCTGAACATGTAAATTTTTTTGGTTCCATAAAACACTGCGCAACGGACTCTCCAATTTGCCTGCTATGACGGCCAAGATGCTGTTAGAGCTACCCCTGACTCTGCGCATCAGTGACGCTACTCTTGCGCATAATAGCGTAGTAATCGTCAACATGGGCGTCAGCAAACATCGTTAATGCACTACAATATCGCGGCAGCCCCAACAGCATCTTGAACGCAAGGGCGGATCCAGGGGGGGGGGGGTCATGGGGGTCATGATTACCCCCCCCCGGGCTGGGTACAGATGGACCAAACCCAGGGGGATTTTATTTAAGTACTTTCAATGTTAAATATACCACGACTATATAACCCCCCCCCCCTGGCGCCAAAGCTGGCTATATAACCCCCCCCCCCTGGCGCCAAAGCTGGCTATATGACCCCCCCCCCCTGGCGCCAAAGCTGGATCCGCCCTTGCTTGAACGCGTTATTGTATTAAACATGCATATATGTATCAAAGTTCCTTGCCGGTTCTTCTCAGTACAAGGTCTCTCCCGCCGTAGATTTACGAACCGATAGCGTAGCTTCTAGACATTCATGAGTGCTTGTAACAGCCTAAACTGAATAAATGATTTTGATCATGATTATGATTACAGGACGGATCTAGTTCTGTGGAGCTGCCGCCGGATTTGTGGGATGATGCTCAGTACGAGGAAGAATACGACATGAGCGCCTTCATCAAGAGCCTGAACAAGATGGCCTCCTAACCACTGACCCATCATTCGAGGTGCATCGCTAGAACCTACCGTGTTCACAAATATACCTTACCGCTTTGTAATAAGGTGGAGACTACAATATCAATATGAGGAGCTGGAGAACAAAACGGTATAATAGGGATGATGACTAATTTTTTTTTCTTCGTTTATCAGGTAGATTGTCAAAAAGTATTGGACACGTATTTTTTCTTTTTTCACATAATATAAACATTGCAGAGATATATTGATTTGAAAAGTCGCATGACGTCACGTTTGAATACACTTATAAGGGAAAATTCACTCAAAAGTGACGTCACGAGCTTGGGAGTAGGGACTCCCAAACTTTGATGCGCTCTAACTTTGTCATTTTTTGGTTGATTGCCCAAAGAAAAAATACGTGTCCATTATTTTTTGATCATCTAACTGACGGACTAAATAGAATTTCGTTTACTGTACCCCGTCATCACCCCTGTTACATAAAGGGTATATATTCCGTAATATATACCAGTATACTGGCCAGTGCTAATGACATCATGAATCGACGCTATACTGGTGAATTGTTCCTTAATACATTGGCCAGTGCACTGACGTCATTAATCGAAGAAATATGAAAAATAGTGCGAATAAAGAAGATGTTTTATTCACCTCATCAATTAAAAGGAATTCTTTTTGTTCGGATGCCATTATTGTTCTTTAAATAAAATTCGAATGCATCTCACGCACGCTCGGTCATACGTCATATTCGTTTTCCCGGTAAATATATGGCAGCGTACCAGTACAATATGGCGTCGGATTCGTGACGGCATTACCACTGGCCAGTATACTAGTATATATTAAGCAATACACCCAAAATTAAATGTTACTGGGGCTGTATAAAACTGAATGACATACCTACAGTGAGGTTTTGGCGTGGTTTTAAAGAAGACCCGGCACTTTTCATAGAAAAAATGCTAAACTTGTATACAATTGAATTTGGTCTCAAAATAAAGCCAAAATTATTTGCTACATAAAACTACTTTTGCCTTATTTTTAGTGAATCATGGAAAGAAGTTATATAATGATTAATATTTTTTGATATAGAAACCCTTTTGATGACAAACCTACGTATTTGACATTGACAGCTAGCTGCTGATGACAAATATTGCCAGAATACGTTACCCAATTATGAAACACAGATAAAAAAATTAAAAAAGTATACAACTTTGGCACAAAATGCCGGGTGTCCTTTAGTAATTTTAAGACTGTTTTAGGTGGTTTTGATTCAAAATTCCCATTTGAGATTCAAATTCAACGGGCACGAAACCTCTGGACTGTTAAAAAAAGTAGTTTGTCCAGATGCGTGATTATTTATTAATTATACCGTTTTGTTCGCCAGCTCCTCGTATGTTAAGTTACAATTTGCTGATGTTAAATTTAACACCCATCATTATCTAATATATAAAATTCTCGCGTCGCGGTGTTTGTGGTTAAACTCCTCCGAAACGGCTTTCCCGATTCTCATGAAATTGTGTGTGCATATTGGGTAGGTCTGAGAATCGGACAACATCTATTTTTCATCCCCCTAAATGTTAAGGATAATCCACCCCTAATTTTTTTTTTTTCAATTTTAGATAAAAAAATTTTTTTTATGATACATCATACGAAAATACATACAACCCTAAGTTTTCACCCTTCTACCACCAACCCCTATTTTTTATGACGGTACGAAATTCGCTGGGTCAGCTAGTAGTTATATATTATTTTAAGCAAGTAACTGCTAGATGATTAAATCTAAAGAAAATTTTACTAGAAAAAAATCCACGCTGACCAGTGCATTCGCCCGGATAGCGAAGGGTGTTGCCTGGTCCGCGTGGAATTTTTTCTAGTAAAATTTTCTTTAGATTTTACCCATAATTATATTGAAATCGGATGACTTTAATAGTATATTCCACGCAGTATACATTCTCTGATTCGGAAAGCATCAGCTTGCTAGGTCATTTATTAATAGAAGAAATACACAGTTTGTCGCTAAAACCAGGAATCAGATATACAATTAGTCTAAATATCACTATTGTGAATCAACGCGTTTCCTACAATAGTTTCTGGTATTGCAGTGACCTGTTAAGTTTTTACTGTTTTAATAAAAGATAATATTAGATAAGTAATAGAGATTGTGTCAATTAATAAACCAAAAACCAATAATGCGCTTGTAAATGTTGCTATTTAATTAGGGGAACTAATATCGAAAAGGTTATTTGTATCTTGTCTGATTAAAATCCTCAATAGTGTACCCTTTTTTTTGTAGACAATAGAAAATTGATTCTATTGTTGTATTAAATTGTTACTATACATATTTTTTGTTTACATTGTGGATAATTATTATATGAATACAGAAAATCAACTGTTTATGATAAAACAACAAAAAAAGTAAAATTCCAAATGATTTATAATTGTCTTAGCAATTAGATATTACTAGTAGATCAGCAAGGCTGTATGGATAGCGATCATTGATCAAATACTTTTTGTGGTATGGTTGAAGTGCCAGCCAGTGGCGGACTAACAGGGGGGCGGAAGAGGCGGCCCCCAAATGCCTCCGCGTTATCCTGATCAAATCCAAAACAAGACTTTAAAAATGTGCTTAGTACCTACATAATTTCATCAAGATCAAAACTACAGTAATCTAGACTTTTTACGCGGTACTAATATTTTTTAACTTTGCTGAACGCGTCCAATACGCTGGGGGAATTCCCGTCTTTGTAGCGGGTACTTCCTCAGGAATCCCTCAGGAATTGGGCTATTAAACAAATCAAAAATATTTTCCTAATTATTGCAACAAAGTTTATGCTAGAAACTTCAGATGACGCTCTGGCTGTGTAGCAGTTGACAATCTGATACAAAGTTATGGTGAATTTGACAAGACTGGTTTTATCGAAATAAACATAATTTCCTCATTCGGCTTTGCTGCCCCGGACCTCTGACGGGCTTAGTCCGCCACTGGTGCCAGCTATACAATGAGACATAGTTCGGTAGTACAAATATTAACAAAACCACAGTGATACAAGTATTACTGACAGCTTTAGAGATTGCCTTTAAAGAATGTTTTCTAAACTTTTCCATTTTGTAACCATACTAAGTCTGATTTCGTCGCATAGAAATGTAGATTTTTGTTTTCCCACTTACGTGTACAGGCGGCTTCATAAAAATATCTCTTATCTATTAGACAAGTCTGTCCGTCTGTGGTGCTGTTTCAGCGGCCAAACCGTAAGAGATAGATAAAGAGAATATTTAAGTTATAAGTTAAGAATAGTCTGATAGGACTAAAAACCGGATTTGAGTAACGTAGCACTACCGGTTTTCGAGAAATCAGGTTTTGGTGAACATTTGGTTCCACTGGTTTGCTAGTTTTATTTATTTATTTAATTTAGATAACAAACAGTCTTATGTCAAACAATTTAACAATTTATGTTTACAAATAGACCTACAGTACCATTAATTGATATATAATTATTATATTCAAGCGGCATACAAGTGACGGATAACTGGAAACATATGATATGCATCGCCGCCGCACATATTATACTATTTAAACAATAATTCACTCACTTATGAGGTAATAAGGTAGGCAAATATATATTAAGAGCAAAGGTTCAATTATATCTTTGCATTTAAAGTCATCTAAATATTGTACACAACCAATCAGTCTTATATTTCTTCAGATCAAAAGTCTCCAAATACAAATATACCATTACAATGATATTTAATATGTTCGCGTCGTAACTGTTTATTGGTATCTAACCTATCATTTAATAAACAAGGAATAAGCTCAGACTAGTTACGCCCTGTTTTGTTCATGTCACTCAAATGCCATTTGTCATTCAATAAACAGAGACAAAACATGAAGTAACTAATCCATGCGTAGTCTTCGTTTATTAATAAGGGGGTAAGCGTCCAGAGTACTCATAAATATCTTAGCTTACATGGATTATTCAATTTAAATAAAATTAAAGGTATGGTACACATATCAACTTTGAAAAGGATCGTTATCGTATTAACTCGAGCCGATCAATATTCTTTGTATAAAACTTTATACTGCAACGCACAATAATCGCAATCGTAACGTAATCGTGTCGACTCGGGACAAGCTCCCGAACCGCGGTGTGGGATTAACTTGCAGTTGCCGCGTTTAAAAATATCTTGGTAATAAAGAAAAGTGAACTCTAACCTGAGGTATTACGGTTGTTATGTTTTCATTTCGTTTGTGACGTGATTGAAGTGTTTGTTTCTTAGGTTTTCACGCACATCACTCATTAAATAAAACTAGTTTTAACGGGTTAATGCACGAAACTTTATTTATTTATTGACGTTTCGCAGCCTTTTCAGGTCTGCTTCGTCAGAATAATGTTTTTTTTATTTTAACAAAAAATCATCATTTAAAAAAGAAAACATAATTCTGACGATTGAATTGTCTTTAGTTTGGGCCTAAAGGCGCGAACGACGCATAATTTATAACTTAGATACCATTGAACAGTTATTCGCGAATATGTAATTGATTATCTTAACACATTACATAAGTATGAATTATGTTGTTTCGATAATATTGACCACTCTGGCCGGTTACAACAGTAAGATTATCCAACAGCACATATAAAACTGAAGTTATGTATCTTCGATAATTTTGATCAGTTTTCACACTTCGATTTTTATGGAGCTGACTGACTGACTGTACGTGTTTATTATTGATACTGAAATATTTTTCTAACGATATAATAAAATTTAAGATTATTTAAGACTAGTAATTCATGTAACAATTTTGATTATTCTTTTTACTTGGGATGTCTCTTGCATCATCAACATTGTCATGCTTCGACACGAAATTCACATTAATTAGTGAACAACTATTTATTGCTTGTTTTAATTTATGCTAACTTAGATTCGGTAGGTTCTATTTGTTCCTTTTTGCAAGCAATATACCTCAATACTTTCATTTTCATTATGTACGATTGACTAATTATTTATTATTTAGCTTTGTAAGGAATAAAGTCAAATTGCTTTAGTCATTTTTGTAGAATTAGTGAGAGCTCGAGGCGTTTTCATTGTTTTCACTGCTATTTTGTACCTGTTTAAAATTAAAATTATGAACAGACAATCACAGAAATATGACCTGATAAATAAATGT